CAATTGAAATTTTACAATAAACGATATACATAACATGTACGACCAAACTTTGCAGCAATAGCTGGCTGCATGAGTCACTCCATGACAAACGATACCTCGACAAAGTGGCCTATCACGTGGAAATTGACGGCAGTTAAATACTCTCAACGCATGTTTCGAAATGTCGAGGGAAAACCCTGGAGGAAAATGCACGCGACGACGGCGAGAGAGAGAGACATGCAGCCTTTATATATACAGCAGGCGTCAGTCGGGATTGAACCCACGACCTCCTGTATACCAGGCGAGGTAGTTAACATCTTGTCACCGCGGCGCGGTGATGTTGATGGTTGGTGGTCGAATCCAATGACGGGATGTCATCAGCAAGTCTGTGCACACCGTGCGTTAATTGCAAAGGGTGCGGTGGGGTGACTCCAGTACTGTAGTTTAATGACAAGCGAAGCAAGTTCAATGTTCAGGCAGCTTAAAAGCAGCTCATATCACATTTATGACCCACGGTGCTCGGTATGTGTAATTTGCATGACGGTAAATCGCTTACGATGAACATGTGGGGGAATTCAGCATGCTTCCATGCCAGCTGCGGCGCCAAACGCCAACTCGAATGATAAAGCATACCGTTTAATGATCATACACATAGAGGTCGTGCGCCCTAATTCCTTACTACACTGAAAAGCACGTTTAAATAAGTATTTAATTTAAAAGTAAACACACGAATCGTTATATTTGCATGCAGTATTTGGGAACTGTATTTTTCGCTTCAGCAAATATATACACCGTTACAAAATCCCTCTGCAAACCACTACCTTATAATGGACAGGTTATCTTTTTCAAGAACGTGACCTTTAATGGGAAACTGGGTTCTTCAGTTAAGAACATTAATAACACAACTACCCTAAATTTTGATTTAAAGCTTTCGTGACTGCAGGGATTCATCTTCTTGGTTCTTTCGGTAAAGTCACGCAGACTTTACCGAAAGAACCAAGCGAGACAACTGCCCTAGTCATGTGGCATAGAGCATCGCATAAGTTCCGTTTGAATGTTAACATTCGCAAGTGCTATAGCAAGGACGACGTCGTCACTAAATTGCTTTACAATGAGAAGACTTCAACAGCCCCGTATCATACCGTGTCAACTCACACGGGTTACCCCGTATTCCTGTATCATACCGTGTCAACTCACACGGGTGACCCCGTGTTCCTGTATCATACCGTGTCAACTCACACGGGTGACCCCGTATTCCTGTATCATACCGTGTCAACTCACACGGGTGACCCCGTATTCCTGTATCATACCGTGTCAACTCACACGGGTGACCCCGTATTCCTGTATCATACCGTGTCAACTCACACGGGTGACCCCGTATTCCTGTATCATACCGTGTCAACTCACACGGGTTACCCCGTATTCCTGTATCATACCGTGTCAACTCACACGGGTGACCCCGTATTCCTGTATCATACCGTGTCAACTCACACGGGTGACCCCGTATTCCTGTATCATACCGTGTCAACTCACACGGGTGACCCCGTATTCCTGTATCATACCGTGTCAACTCACACGGGTGACCCCGTATTCCTGTATCATACCGTGTCAACTCACACGGGTGACCCCGTATTCCTGTATCATACCGTGTAAACTCACACGGGTTACCCCGTATTCCTGTATCATACCGTGTCAACTCACACGGGTGACCGCGTATTCCTGTATCATACCGTGTCAACTCACACGGGTGACCCCGTATTCCTGTATCATACCGTGTCAACTCACACGGGTGACCCCGTATTCTTGTATCATACCGTGTCAACTCACACGGGTGACCCCGTATTCCTGTATCATACCGTGTCAACTCACACGGGTTACCCCGTAGTCCTGTATCATACCGTGTCAACTCACACGGGTGACCCCGTATTCCTGTATCATACCGTGTCAACTCACACGGGTGACCCCGTATTCCTGTATCATACCGTGTCAACTCACACGGGTGACCCCGTATTCCTGTATCATACCGTGTCAACTCACACGGGTGACCCCGTATTCCTGCGGATGGAAATTTTCGTTAGCAGCTCCATACGGCGTACAGCCGTTTCAATACGGGTAACAAAAATGTGTGTCTATTTGTTTGTGTTTCTCCCTAGTGATTGGACTTTGTAGGATGAATGTAGAGACTTATATGGGCACGGGGTGACCAATAAGGTCTGAATTTGTGTGTAATGAAGTAGGGCACTGACGAGGGGTTGACAGGCGTGTCATATAGTGACACCAACCATGCCAGGCGCAATGGAGATGATGTTACTAATTCGGAGGGTAGCATTATAACCACACACGCCCGTGACACCTACAATCTGTCTGCTTTCACATTCCTATACGGTACAGTGTGGGTGACAACTCAGCCGCTCGGCCAGAGCCGGTGCCTGGAGGCGTTTAAAAACACAAAAGTCAACACGAGCGTCTCAAACAAGCACACACGCACACAAAAAAGGATCCTGCTTTGACACACACACACGCAGAGAGAAGTGCTTCACTCGTCACGACCGCCAACTGGCCGAGGACTACGACATAACCCGCGCAAGAAGAGAAAAAAAAACGTTTGTTCTGAACAAAAGACATTAAATTGTATTCGTTGTAAAATTGCTCGACGCGAGATTTAAAAAAAAAGACGACCTCTCCAAATCGACAAGCTCGACCAGAAGACTCACCCCCGTGTTAGTTCTCCATCGTGAAGCGTTGCTGCGTGACACCTGGCAGATCCCTCGCAGCGACCGCCCTCCTCTCCTCCCCTGGTGGCGGTGACAGCTCCACCCGGCACCTCCTCCTCCTCATCCTCCTCCTCCCAGCCACCCGCAACCAGCCGAGCAGCGCACGTCTCACGTAGCCACCAAATCTGACCTCCCCCCCCACCCCGCCACCACCCACCCACCCACCAACCCTCTGCGAAACCACCGATCTTGCGGTAAACACGACCGACAAAAACTAAAACCCACCCGGCGGGGGGCCGCTTCACGTGCATCTGGCTCGTTTTTTTTTCTTTCGTCTCCACACCGAAGTTACCGGACAGCACACATTGTGCATGGGTGGGAGTGGTGGCGCAGTGGTTAGCATACTGCGATGTGAACCCGGCATTGAGTTGTTGGATTCCTGGACGTGAATAATAATGTCCATCCATTGTCGATCCACTGCTGGAAGATGCCCCCCCCCACTCCCCACCGCCCATCCCTCTTCGTTCAGTGCCGCTACCGTCCATCTCGCTCCTACACATGAACCGATCCCATCGACCCTACTCGCGTGGTCGTCCTCATCACGTTCACTCATTTGGTTGCCATTCCGTTATCAGTCTCGGCCATCGACCATTAGAGATATGTCCGGCCAAAGCCCAAATAATTTTCTTGTTACTATGGATGTCTCAGATTTGTGTTTGTTCCAGATTCGTGTTCCCCTTTTCTCAGCGTAAATCCAAGCATGCATCTCATTCTTCTGTGTACACTCGGGACGTGGTGAACATTGCGCGATATTAATCAGTCATGCACCCCACCACTTCCTTCAACCTGTGCTGACCAAATTGGTGACATCAATCCCCATGACCAACACGGTTGAGGCCTTGAATCAACACTAAATTGAGAAAGGGACATGCATAATTATCACTGAAGGAGTCGGAGACTGGTTAAGCACTTCTTTATTCTTCAAACCACAGCCACACTCGTTCCTCAGAACCAAACCCGAACGCGTTTCTCCATCTCCGCCCTCCTTCCTAATCCACGCGTCTCGCGCGCCGTGTGACGTCGGGGCCCTTTAACCCTTGACCCCCGTCTCGCGTATTCTCGTGCGTGCGATTGGTGTGTGCGATGTTGAGTGCGGAGATTGCGTCTGTGTGTGTGTGGTGCGAGTGTGTGAGGGTGGCTCGGACACTCCCCCCCCCTACCCCCACCACGATGCATGCATTTAATGCTCAAAAATATATGGCCAAATGTTACATGCAAGGTTGTTTTGAAATTGAGTGTTTGGTAAAGCTTTCGTGGATAAACCGTAGCTTATGCGAGAGTGTAAGCCACGGTGTTCGCATTGATTGTGGTGCTCTCGTGATGGTTGTAATATTTGCATAACTCAACCATCTAAATGCATGGTTGCTGTGAATAGGGAACCGACCTGAAATTTGGAAGGAAAGATGTTTGTATTAGTTTACCTATAGTTTTCTATTTACACATTAGCCAACATGTTAGTCTCAGCCTATATAAACAATCATCACTACAAGACATGATCTATCCACGATTGAAGGCTCCTCGAAGAATCAACCATGTCGAACTTGAGACAGAATTGACATTAACAAAGCACAAATGACACAAGCAAATCTACTTAAAAGATATTGACTTTTGTAGCTTTCCCTTCATGTAAATACAGGGTGTTTAAAAAATATTGGACCCGATTTGAAATCGATCTCTGCAACCACGAACCGCCCATGAATGAAACTCTTACCACTTGAAAGGGCGGAGCATAGATAGCGGGGCATAGAGAGGGCGGGGCATAGAGTTTCAATTTATGACCGATAGATGCCTCTACCAGCACACAAACAGCCCCTAGCCTCAGTCATTGGCAAGACGATGACCCCACCGCGACACAAGGGGCGTTTTGCGTTCTGCAGTTCAGCAAAACTGAATCCATAATTGCGGTGCAGCGGTGCGTTTCAACGGCGTTTTGGCATTGATCCGCCAATGTCAAAGAACATTCGTCAATGGTACCGACAATTTGGGCTACCATGCACCTCAGAGGAAAACGTAAGAGAGGCATTTGGGGCGAATTCAACTATCGTCTCGATGTTGTCCGCACAGCAGATGGAGGGAACATAGAGCATTTATAAAATGGCTAGTAAAACTTGATAACTCATCAAACCGTTTGTAACTTTTTGTGTAATTGTAACATGTTGCCATCGTGAAATATCCTGCTTTGAAATTGGGTCCATATTTTTAAAACACCCTGTATATATGTGTTGTAGTAAATGCAATTAAAATCAATGTATTCAGTAATTTTTATTTCTATCTTTTTTATAATACAGGAACCGAATTTGACAAGGCAGAAGTGAAAAGTATGACAATGAAATCACCGAATATCCTCTTACTATCCCTCATCAAGTTGTGATCTGCAGCAATTATTAATCAGCTCTGCTTGAACATCAAAATGATAGTTTTGTAGTACTGCACACCAACACATTTGGAAATTTAATTGGCAATACAGCACTTTTTTGGAAGCGTCTGGAAACCACCATCCTTACAAAAGTTCCTCCATATACGAAAAAACACAAGTGTTGGTTATTTTGTAATCAAATGAAAACAAGGACGCAAAATAAGCTTTACGTACACGACCACTCCCCCTACTGGGAACAATGTCATTGCAATCGTAAGATGTTGCTTCTGGGTTTGTGAAATGTCATAATCATGGCTGCATATGCTGTTGATTTCAAGGGTCTGCAAAACAATATCTCAAATTAAGCTGCCCTGCAAATGGTATCTTTAAAACATACAAAACATTGCTTATTCCTTAATTTTTTGTTCAGTTGTAACCAGCTCTTAATAATCACAATTAATTGATCACATTTAAGATGCCCTGCCAGATGCGAGGTGACCTGGATACATAAACCTTCTCGGATAGCATTCAACCCTAGACATCTACCGAATCCAATCTTGTAGCAGATTACAACTTTCGCAAAGAAAAAATACTCAAGTATTAAAGAAGCATTTTCTCAGATCACTTAATCAGTTATCCACTGAATACACTTCTCTGCACACTCATTCAGGACCAGGAATCTTCAAACTCTGGATAAACAGCATGTAATGTGCAAGGTTAGATCCCAAAGGCAACTAAGATATTATGCAGAATCATAGTTTGTAAAATAGGGATAAAACATTTTAAATGCTATAAACATTTGTCATTTATAATGCACCAATTTCCAATCACAGGGATTTCAAGAAAACATTTTGGACATAAATGCTCATGCATATATGCGAGATGCCACAAATAGTTCACTGAACCCATCAAAATATCCTCGGTGAACACATTTTCATAAAACCTCAATTCAAATGTAGTAAACTAAAGCCTATGTAGTATTCAGTAATAAAGCAGAAGAAAAACATGAATGCTAAAAAAACTCTCAGCTCTACAGCCCATATGGGAACAATAAGAACTCTAGAGGCAAAACTGTGTTGATGAAATCAACAAATGACAACCTTGCAGTATGGGATTCCAAAGAATGTCATTGTCTTTTTAATGATGTACATAATTTGAGCCAAGTAACATTTCTCAACATAAAGTGTCAAAAGCGCAAAATGTTAACAGCACATCGTCATTTCCATAAAATGAAAAATGTACACATGTATAATAAACGCGGCAGCTGATCTGTTTTTCCCCCCAAGTGTATATTGCCTTATCAAAAGCATCACAAATTTCTCAACAGTTGGGTCCTGTTCTTCACCACAAGCACAGGTGTGCACATTACCCTGCAGACCTTAATCACACAACCATGTCATACTATCCTATTTACACATTACCCAAGACTTCCACGAGAAAGAGACTTATGAATGCAAACAGAAAATAAGGAAAAAAAAGTCACCATTAAATGTTATTCCAAAAACAAAAGAAGATACATCTGTCAATGACAACAGCCCTGTTCAGTATTTTATGTGCTTGATCTGCTTAAAAGAAATACGTAGCAAAAATATAAATGGTTAATAATGGTTAGTGTGCACATGCATTCTTAGCAGGGTTAGAATGAGTGGGCCAGCATAGGAACCAATGGGCTAGCCTATGTTAAAGCATCACAAACAGGTGTGATCTGATGTCAAACCTGGCATGCAGTTTCGTGTATCAACGCCAATGGAAGAGTATACAAGGTTAGCACTGACAGCTAAAGCAATGTGTATATCACATTGCAAGAAAGTTAGCAAGACGAGTGATAATACAGATTATACAGTAATGTTATAACAGAGAAAGCTATTTAACACCAAGCACTTCTCGATCCATGTAATGTGGTGAAAATGTTTCATAGTAAGGTTCTTAGTGCCTTTAAAACTATGCTAATTAGCAGCATACACATATATGTCTATTTGGGCAAATTAAAACTGGTGTTAAAATTAACATGTGCATATTTTGCAGCTACAGATCATTCTGCATTTGGCCTTCAAAATATGCAGATATTTCCCTATGTTGGACATACACCATCAGCACACAAAAACATCATAAAGCAAATTGCATCTTCACTGCTGTCAATTAAAAAAAAACACTTGACAATATATGTGGACCAAGAAAATATATTATTGTCAAGTTGATGAATACCATAATTTTCAATGCTTTAAACCCAAGAAGGCCGGCGATGATTCTACTGTGAACTAAGTGCCATATTTAAACAGGAGAAACAGGAGTTTCATTAAGAGCCAGGCCGGCCTAAAACCGTTTTTAATATAACACCACATTTTCTTTCACGTGTTCCCAAATATAATCCACAGAAAGAATACAACAGAAAACAAACGTTACCACACTGGAGAGGGGCTTGCGAAAACAGTGTGTGCAAAATGTTAAGGAAGTGTTTACAACCGAAGGAACAGCCAGCTATAAATGTACAGCAAAATACAAATCCAGGAGAGACCCATCAGTTAGTTGCAGCAGCTACTGCTTGTTTGAGATGTGGGGTCGATAGGTACAACGTTTGATTTGCCGCCTGGATTCTGCTGCTCATTCTTCGGAAGCTTCTTGGCTAAAATGCATGAAAAGAGGAAAACAGCAACACTTACTTACATTCAGAAGCAAAAATGCAACCAAAAGAAACATTTTACAAGGCAATTAGATTATTTTATTAGTGACAGGAGCTAATTCTAGATAGGAACAAACAGTATAGGTTGTGGCTAGCATTTAAAAAAATGGGGAAGACTATGAGACATTTGAAACTTCGATACAGCCAAGATACAAACCAGTACATTAAGTCTACATGGATTTATGCTTCACAATTGGAAAATAAATAATAAAAATGGTGAGAGCAGCAAATTATCCCTATGAACAAACGGGAGGGGTGGTGCTCACCGATAGCAAGGAACACTTCATTCACATTCATGGCCGTCTTGGCTGATGTCTCCATGAACAACAGTCCATTTTCTTCTGCATAGCCCTGGGCCTCCTGCAAACAGAAATGAACATCAATTCATACAAAATAGTTCAAGTGATTCTGATGAAATGCCACAAATGTAACTGAACCAGTGGCATCAAGTCCAAGCTTTTCCACTGCAGCCCTCACCTCCCCAGACCCACATCTACGGAGGTTCTTCACTCCATATTGGTGAATTGTTTAGCACCATTACTTCTTACTGCAGTGTCACAAGTGGAGACGTGTTTTGTTAACTTCTTCACTTTAAATATATGAAAGGTACATTGACAACATGTGGTGTCCTGCTTGTGTCAGATGCATCACTTCACCTCAAACTCCACCATCCTTTGGCTGGCAAGGTCAGCTTTGTTTCCTGAAAGAGCGATCACAATGGTGGGGTTTGCTTGTCGCTGCAGCTCCTTTACCCAGGTCTTGGCTCTGGCGAATGAGTCCTACAAATCCATAGGCATTGGGACAGCGGCTTGTACACACTTTGTTGAGAAAGCAACAATTAAGTGGACATGAAAAAAATAGGTTTAACCCTTTCTGCGATAAAACAGGCATTAAGATGTTAAAACACCAAATATATACCTTTTGCAAGGCATAAAGTCTGCATGAACCACACATACTTGTGGCAAAACAGACTTCATGCCATTGAAAAGGTATATATTTGGTGTTTGAACATCTTAAACGCCTGTTTTATTGCCAGAAAGGGTAAAACCTATTTAAATTTTGCATCATTTTCGATATTGGCAAAAAAATCCCTTAAAGTGGAAAAAGCTTGACTGAAAGCTTTCATGACTATAATGTCCTTCCTGAATTCGGTAACGTCATAACTGGCTGTGATGCTTCCATCCTACCTGCCTATGTTAGCAGTTTCTTCCGACTCTCTGAGTTACATTACCTTGTTAAATGTTTTAAATTAAGCGGCTAAATTTCTCACTAACATAGCTGCTGCTCCCTTTTCCTCGTTGCTTAATAAGCTGAATGTCTCATTAACACAGCCGCTGCTGCAGGAGCCGTCTCACATTGACATGCTCATCTCTAATCTCGAGCAATACAGAGGCTTCTTCAGCACCGTAGCCATGGGATTACATTAACAGATTGACACGCTAATCTCTAGGAACACAATGGCCGAGGTATACCTAGCTCTGCGATCTTACATTTACTTGCAAATTCCATCTCTAGCCCCGCCCACTTACCCTTGGATTATAACCATCTCAAACCTATATAACCTTTGGCTGCAGTAGCTCTCGCGATATTTATTCCTGCCTCAGCAGTCCGCCTGCTGTATTTTTTCACCTGAAGACGATTGCTTGTGTTGCGATCGAAACGTCGTGATTTTTAAAAATGATTGTATCATTTTTCTATCTACGTGACTTTACCGAAAGACCGAAAGAGAATTAGGTGGATAGTTTAGCATTTAAGGGTATTTCCTAACGAAAAAGATCAGCAGTTTAAGTGCACATTTTGGAGTCCAGCACCTATTTTGTTTTTACCATGAGAATTATATTTACAGCAGGGCTAGTGGTAATTAGGTTCCTCAGCGGTTGAAGCTTTGAGTTGGCACGACCGAGATCCTAAGCCCGAATCTGGGTAGCCACATACGATTAAAATGGGTTCTCAAATCTAGTATGGTTTCTACCGGGTCACAATGACTGCATAAAAAAAAACCCATCGTGTTAATTTGTTTAGCTTTGTCCACTAAACGTGATAAAACATGAGCTTTGAAAATGAAGAAATGGTTTGATGGACAATAAATGTAGGTTTCTCTGTAGAAGGGCACATGAGAATGTGCAGTGCTCTCTCAAGCGGATAAAAAAGGTAACTTAAAAGGATCGCAAAAAGTACATCGGTGATATCTTCTTCCACAAGCTATTCTCTAACACGTGGTGATGTGCTGCTTTGCAAGTGTGCAATTAACTCTTTTGTCTCGCCACGTGGCGAGAGCACAACTGGAATAAAACTGGGGGAGAGATGAATTCCTGATGTGCATACAGCAGAAGCGGCAATTGAGTGTGCGTGTGACCAGGTTTGTGATGTCGTAGACGACGATGGCCGCCTGCGCCCCACGGTAGTACATGGGCGCCAGGCTGTGGTAGCGCTCCTGCCCGGCCGTATCCCAGATCTCAAACTTCACAGTCGTATCATCGAGGGACACAGTCTGCGTCAGGAATGCCGCTGCGGTCAAAGAGAGAATGGAGTCTTACCAGCAGCTAAACATTTTGTGGCCATCATCCAAAACCAACACAAAGCTCAAGCATCACCAGTGTAAATGCTACAATCACTTAAAACAGCTTTTTTTGTAAATATTAATTGAAATGTTTGTAAATATGTATGGAAACCTTACATAATCATTATCATCAGCCGGGGTCTATGTTTTGGATGGACTCTAAAGGCCATTGCTATCTCAGTCTTGTGATACAACCCAATATTGTTCTATGACACAAGCAATTTCATTGCTCCATCTCCACGGTGGCCATCTACCCGGGTGTGTTCCCTCCTTTGGCTGAATCTTCCTTGTTAGTTTCAACCACCTGCCACCATTACAACCCTACCTCTAACCCTAAAGGTGTGTCCTGTCCAAGACCACTTAACTCTTCTTTGTGTACTTTTCAGCTTGGAATCCTGGAGTGCGTTTGGAATTTTTTTTTATTGGAAAGAAACATATCAATGTGGCTATAGAATAGTTTTAATCACTATATATTTCCTGTTATCACATATGCATCACAAACGTGGAAATGCATTAAGAAAATGCTAAAAAGTAGAAAATGCACAAAACCTCATTTCACAATAATTTACAACGACACCTTTGCTGTTGAAAAAGTACAGGTTTGTAAATTAAATGTTTTACATTGGTGCACGCACCACAAGAGGGTATGGCAATCAATGTATGCACTGTATGTATGTAGAACTTCTTTCACACCGAATGTAGCCAAACATGCTAATCGGAAGAGCGGGGGAAGGGCAAAAAAATAAACACAAAAAGCAGTTCGACAGAAATTAGTTTTCAATCTAGATTTACTTCCTAATATCGAAAGGAAGAGCATTCCAGACGGCCGCAGAAGCGCATCTGAAAGCACGTGATGCAGTGACCGTCTTTGTCCAATGGTTGGCAAGAAGCCACTGTCAGGAAGAATGGAGTTCGCTTGATGGTTAATGCTCCTTGACGAGATCAGCAAGGTAGTGGTTCATTTGCGATTAAGCACTTTGTGTGTCATGAGTTCAAACTTCAATCTCATCGTATGTAGCCAACCATGCTAATCGGAGGTGATAGATATTACAGGAAATTAAAGGGAACGTACTGAAGATAACAATAAAACAGATATATATTTATAAAATTTTAACATTTTAGTCCTCAGTGACATGTGGCTTTGAGGTCAATTGATAGGTTAATTACTGCTTAATTAAAAAAATTGTTAATAAAATTAAATTGGCGACATATATTTGGTCATGATAAAAATAAAAGGTATTGTACTTGTGCCTTGTATTCATTTATCAAGACAGAATTTTCCACATTACAACTGAAGACTGAATTGTAAGCCAGGGACAATAAATAAAACCACAAACAGCCTGATGCTAGTTAATGTACAACTTTACATGTATAATGAGCCACTTCCGCGACACATCGTGTAGAGGGTATTTCTTTTATCACTCCCACTGGGCACAAAACAGGCCAACACTTATTATTCTTCCTCCCACTGAGTACAACACACGATATTCACGTCTCTACTGGCTACACACAGCCGATCACTCAGCGTGGTCCCCTCGCCCTCACTCAGCCACGCCGCTGGCTGGCGGCGTGACGATGACGGCGATGGAAACCACGCAGGAGGTCTTCCACGTGGCCAGACGTCAGAGAACAGCGACACAGCCAGGACCCCACACACGAGCCCCTAGCCCGCTCCCCCTTATATCCCCCCAGGCGTAGCCAGGCCACGCCTCCGGCCACGCCCTCTCGTGGAACCTTCGAGCAAGTTCCCAGAGTATCTCAGCTAACCCCACCTGTTGCCTTTGCCCCAGATACACCTCCTTTCCCGATTGGTTGTTACTTCTGTGCCCGTACCCGTGAATCCCTTCCCAAGCCAGCAGGTGTCACCCTGTCATGCCAGCAGGTGTCACCCTGTCATTACACAAGGATGGTGGTTGTATACCATCTTACTTGTGGTGTAAACAGTCAAAGCAAACATTCCTTTATCAACAGTCACTTTACAAAAGAAATACTGAGCTCATACAGCCAACACAGTTGATAATTAATCAAGGATGGCATAAATGAACAATATTCATTAAGTATTGAGAATCCAATTTTAAATAAGCTTTAAATGGAACACATTTCCACTATTTGGGCGATAACGTCCTTTATTTATCAGCCAAATGTTATTTAGCTCTAGCAATGAAGTTAAAAACAATCGATTGTAGCTTTGTGGACTGTTTTTATAATCTACTTTAAGTTATTTTTAAACTTAGAAACTGTAGACTACAATATATCATGTGAGGTGCATTTATATTTTGACACTATGAATTCAAATTGTATAACACCCTTCTCTTATGAAAAATGTAAAAGGATCTTCATGAGACACTTTGATGTCATGCATTAAATTATCAATCAGAATTCCACAGCACTCCATACAGTTGGCTCTGTTGTAAGCAGAGTTAATTTACAGCCCTTTGAAAATTAACTATTGAGTGAAGGTATCCCCACAATGTATTTTAATGGAGGTTGTTTGACCAGACTTTACCACACTGGTCAGTGCAGTTTGGTGAAGGGGTGTGAGGGGCCAGTTCTAGTTCTTGGCATTCTCTGGTCTGACACTGGTGAGACTAGGCCCGAAAAAAGGCTATCTCTGGTGTAGGCCAATCAGTTTCAAAGACAATGCAAATAATATTATCAGAGCGTGTTTGTTTGCATGTTCACCACAAGTCCTTGTGGTTAATGCAGACTTCATTCCTTGCAAAAGGTTTCTATTTGGTGTTTTAACATCTTAACACCTCCTGTTTCATTGCCAGAAAGGGTAAAACCTACCCTTATTTTTTCATACTTTGATACTGGCAAAATGGTCCCATTTTGATAATTATTTCATTATAGTGATGGAATTTTTGTTGTAGAAAATTATATTGACCAATAAACCAGATACACATATCTGTATTGAGAATAAAATAACGTTTTTTTTTTAGGCCATCCAAGTGCCAGCTGTGCACATTATTAAATGTGATGAACGGCAGGCAAGCGAGAAACAATAATAACCCTCACCCAGCGAACAGAAATGTAGTGCCCGCATGTCTCACCACCAATGGTGCTCTCCTGGAACTCGTGGAACTGTCCCTTGACAAAGCGCAACACCAGGCTGGACTTCCCCACGGCAGACTCGCCTAGCAGCACCAGCTTGAACTGGCACATCTTGTTGGTGGCTGTCTGGCAATTGGGCCGGCTGGCCGACCCACGGCTTGCCATGGTGTTGTTGCTGCTGCTGTGTGGCACTGCGGGGAGGGTGCGTGCCCAGATTCAGCCGAGGCCTCGGCGGCAGAGATGGTAGTGGAAGGGGTTGATTCAATACTGCACACGGACAAAGCAAACGTAAGTAATAAGAATCGACTGTTACCTTAAACCAGTGTACCAGAGATGCAACTTCTCATCAACATAACTTTTTTTCCATCACAGCAATAGGAAGTACATTTCAAGAACTAGAAAACAGGAACCACAACGAATTATTTAAAAGTAAGCACATGTAAAACCCCAGAAACAAAAACGAATTCGATGTTGTACATGAGGGTACTTTTAAGCCATACTCTTAAACATTACTTCATCAGTAGCGTTAATCTGTTCACGACACATTGGCAAATTAAACGACTTAAATTGTTTCAACACTGAAGCACAAGTAGTGTTGAAGCAAATACCATTATATTGAATAATCTATGGGTGGCATTTCATTTGTACAAAAGCAGTAACTTACCAAGATGAATTACTGGTAGTTTTTACGTAAAAATGTAAGTGATGACGTCACCATGATGTTACATCATCGTACTTTGTTCATGTACGACTTTTTTTTGCAAAGTATATAAGGTTCAAAGCCACTTCTGAGTATTTTTTTGTAATCCTGACTCGTTCACATTACAGCTTACAATTATTCTTTGAAAATAATGACGACCTCTGGCACTGCGTCCACAGCGTCGTGTTCGTTGAACAATTAGAAGTATTTTTCATACGTAAAGGGCGGCACCGTGTAGCCGGGTGACATCATCACCACCATCATCATCATCCGGCTCCAATTGACTGTGCGCAAGACGTCGACATTAAACAAAGAGTAACAGGCACCTGCTGCAGAAATAAAAACACGCAGAAAGGCTGACACCCACGAGGCACTGATAAACAGCAGTACATTACACGTGTATCAAGCGGAATTGTTGCTACTGGAGGAGGGGAACAGGCGCCACCACCACCACCACCCTCCCCGACTTCTAGATCTCAGACACGATGGCCTTCCACGTTGTCCAGCCGGGAGACAGGCAAATGCGTGATGAGAGGGGGTCGTCGTGTCGCCTGAGATTGACGAGTACCGGGGCGTGAGAGATTGACGAGTACCGGGGCGTGAGCTCACAAGGAGGAGTTGGGGGGGGGGAGAAGGTTAATAAAATAAGACGGTGCTTGTTTTTGCGCTTAAATGGTGGCAGCGTGTAACAAGAGTCGACTTCTCACGCCCACACGCGCAAGATTGCGCGAGAGACTCGCGGCGCCCGGTGTGCCGACGGCAGGCGAGGTCGCACGAAGCTGCGAACTTTTGACTGCGTCCACCGCGTCTACGTGAACGAGCGCGTCGTCAATAACGTCAACTGTACACCGCCCGTGCCGATAACCCCGGGGGGAAAAAAAACTTCACATCTTGCCGGGAATGCGCAGCGCGGCCTCAAGCAGCAGCGCCGACCCTCCCGAGAGCCTAGGCCGCAGCCACAACAAAGCAGCCGGGGGCTGGGGGGGGGCAGCTACTCACCCCAACATCGCGACCCCCAACTCCCCACCCCCCCCCCCCCCCCACCTAACTCGCTAGGTGACAACGATAACACAGACGTTGTTACAATCGCAACTTACGGCGGACCCCCCACGCCACCCCCCCGCACAAACACTCCCCTCACCCAACCCAAAGCACGGCCACACAATGCCAGCCGAGCCGCACGCTCAACAGCTCAGCCCCGCGGAGAGCGCCTTTAAGGACTCGGGCCAAATGGGACCGCCTCGCCCGGTAAGCTGCGGGCGTCGCGACCACTGCGAGTCGCCGCCGCCGCCACCACCACTACTGCTACCACCACACGACCTCCTCCCCCCCACCACCACCGCTACCACCACCACACGACTCCCCCCACCACCGCTACCACCACCACCGCTACCACCACACAACCTCCCCCCCCACCACCACCGCTACCACCACCATACGACTCCCCCCACCACCGCTACCACCACTACCGCTACCACCACCACACGACTCCCCCCCCACCACCACTACTGACCACCACCACACGACTCCCCCCACCACCACCGCTACCACCACCACCACACGACTCCCCCCACCACCACCGCTACCACCACCACACGACTCCCCCCACCACCACTGCTACCACCACCACACGACTCCCCCCCCACCGCGGCCTCCCATCCCATCGCGCCGCCATCTTCTTGGCTCCCCGACGCTGCCGCCTCAGCCTCGGGACTCTCGCGGCGCTAAGCGGCATAGTCGCGTACCAGCAGGTCTCCGGTTCGGGGTGGGTGGTGGGTTCACTTGGAGATGCACGGCTGCTGTAGCTGCTGTAGCGGCTGCTTGTTGTTGTTGTTTTCGCCTGCTCGGCCGATCGCGCCTCTCGCCGCCGATGAGGTGAGGTCGGGCTTTGGGAACCGGATCCGGGGCGAGGCAACGAGAACCGGTTCTCCGTGAGGATCCGGTTCCGGTGGCGGTTACCACGGGAACGAAAAAACCACGGCAGCCGGGTCCAGCGCCGTGGGAACAGTCCCCACCCCCGTGGCAACCGTTGTTGGGGGGCGGGGACTGTTCCCACGGGGACTGTTCCCACGGGTCCAGCCCCGTGGGAACAGTCCTCGCCCCCCAACAACGGTTGCCGTGGCAACCAGATCCGAGCGGGGGAGAAGTGGATGGTGTATTCTTGGTTCTTTCGGTAAAGTCACGTAGAAGAGAAACAATAAAATTATTAAAATATTAAACCATAAAATTCTCAAGACGTTTCGACTGCAACATAAGCAATCATCAGGCGTGCTTGTGTTGCAGTCGAAACGTCGTGAGAATTTTATTGCTTTATATTTTTATTTTATTGTTTCCCTTCTACGTGACTTTGGTTCTTTCGGTAAAGTCACGTAGATAGAAAAATTATAAAAAATAAAGTGAAAATAAAAAATATAAAAACTAAAGAAAACCCACTGTAGACTAGCCTGGTTTTGATTTAAAGCTTTCGTGACTGCAGGGATTCATATTCTTGGTTCTTTCGGTAAAGTCACGTAGAAGGGAAACAATAAAATAATTAAAATATAAAACAATACAATTCTCACTTTTTCAACATTTCTTGCTGTGGTTTTCACACCTGATGATGATGACAGTCGAAAAGTCGTGATAATTTTATTGGTTTATATTTTTATAATTTTATTGTTTCCCTTCTACGTGACTTTACCGAAAGAACCAAGAATACGTAGCCTGATTCTTAAGCTGCTGAGCATATTGGCAGTCTGTAATGTAGACTGCAGCAATAGTTATTAAACTGAGTGAATGCACTGGCAGTTTATGTCAACTGTAGCCTGGTTTTGATTTAAAGCTTTCGTGACTGCAGCAATTCATATTCTTAACTCTTTCGGTAAAGTCACGTTGAAGGGAAACAATAAAATAAATATTATATATTTTGATGATTGCTTGTGTTGCAGTCGAAAAGTCGTGATAATTTGATTGGTTTATATTTTTATTATTTTATTGTTTCCCTTCAACGTGACTTTACCGAAAGAGCTAAGAATATGTAGCCTGGTTAACCAAACTTAATAACCAGGCACAGTGTCTACATTATAGATTGCCAGTATACTCGCTCCGATTAAGAACCAGGCTACAGTCTACATTAGTGTTTTTATATATAAAAAAAAATAATTTGTATTAACTTTATTTTTTTATCTCCGTGACTTTACCAAAAGAACCAAGGAATATGGATGCTGGTTACCAAGGAAACCAGGGTCCAAATAATAAACCGGATCTGAGAATGATAAAATCCGATTAACTTGACATGCCTGGTTATTTTGGAAAATAATTATATTGACCAATAAACCAGATACACATCTGTATTTAAAATAAAATTATTAAGGTCATACAAGTGCCAGCTGTGCGTATTATTAAATGTGAACGGCAGGCGTTAAACAATAACCCTCACCCAGTAAACAGAAATGTAGTGCACGCATGTTTCACAATGGTACTCTCCTGGAACTGTCACACCCCCCCGAGAGCAAAGGAGTAAAACCCTTGGTTACTTTGGGGGAAAATATCGATGGAGGGGGATTCTCAATCAGTCATCAGCTAAAAAGGTAACGTCGTGAAATAAGGTGGATTGCCGGGTGAGGCTCAGGACAACGGTTGCCACGTCTTCCACAGACCAAAATCGGGACATTTCTTAGTCTCGATCCATCAAGACCGTGCTATATACAGGACTGTAATATAGTTCAAACACCAGCGGTACCAGATCTCGCTACAAATAAATTCCTGGGACCTGAACACCGATGCCAATTGTCGTTAAAGTTGCCACCTACCCGAAAACCGGGTAGGTGGCAGCTATGTCCATGAAGCGATTGTGTAAGTCTAGTCAACACTGGTTAGATGGGGTCAAGACGCTCCAGACCAGTCTCTTTATGGAGATACTAGTGGGAAGTACCCGGCGTTGCCCGGGTCTAAAAAATATTTCTAAACTACTCTTAAAAATCGAACAGCAGTGCGTACCGACTGTGGTGGCACCCGCTATGATTACAGCAGTGCGTACTGTGGTGGCACCCGCTATGATTACAGCAGTGCGTACTGACTGTGGTGGCACCCGCTATGATTACAGCAGTGCGTACTGACTGGTGGCACCCGCTAGGATTACAGCAGTGCGTACTGACTGGTGGCACCCGCTAGGATTACAGCAGTGCGTACCGACTGTGGTGGCACCCACTATAATTACAGCAGTGCGTACTGTGGTGGCACCCACTGATTACAGCAGTGCGTACTGACTGTGGTGGCACCCGCTATGATTACAGCAGTGCGTACTGACTGTGGTGGCACCCGCTACGATTACAGCAGTGCGTACTGACTGTGGTGGCACCCGCTAGGATTACAGCAGTGCATACTGACTGTGGTGGCACCCGCTATGATTACAGCAGTGCGTACTGACTGTGGTGGCACCCGCTATGATTACAGCAGTGCGTATTGATTGTGGTGGCACCTGCTATGAAACAATTTGCTTAGGTAAAAGTTTTTTTTTTTTAACAAATGAAACTCATGAATAAAGGCAATGTTTATTGCACATGCTTTCGATATTTCAGTGCTCTATTGTATGACTATTACAGAGGTGCCTGTATAAAGTTAAGGCATAAGTGTAAATTACACACCTTTAGGTTGCATACATAACATTAGTCACGTGGGGTTTCACCGTTTTAATAATAATAATGCAGCATGTTAGATAAAAATCGCACATTTTAGGACAAGCCCAAAGAAACATTTAGGTAAAAGTAAAAAAAGGTACATTACACTTCATTGGAATACTTTCTGAATATGAAAACAATATGCAGTGCGATAAAAAAACTGCAGCATGCTCATCTCTTCAGGTCAAGTGCTGTTAATACCTGGGTCTTTGGTCATAAACACTGAGGGAAAGCATTGGTAAATAACACCTCTTAACTCCCCCCCCCCCCCCCCCGCCAAGATAAAAACAAACTCAATTTTTTTTAATCAAAAACGGTCGACCATAGATTTGTAAAGTCAATGTTAAATCACAGTATTTGACATTCACACCTATAAGTGCCATTGTATTATGCAAGGATAAATAAAAAAAATCTCACAGGCTGTACCGTATTTATATTTCAAAGCATTTTAAGTCACCTGCTTAAAAATGAAGACAGTATATAAAAAAGGGAAAAAAGCTACTGCCAACATTAAAATTACAATTTTAATTAATTGTGCTCAATTATACCAACATAATTTAAGGGTTATCGCAAGGTACTGGTCCACAGGCAAAATGTTAAATGCACACAAAGCACAATTTGCAGCAGTGTTAAAGTGTCTAAATGCAAGTAATTTAAAATAGCACAAAAACACATGTTAATGCCACAAAAGAGATAGCCATAGTAACAGTAATAACGCAGTTCAGTAATCAATACCTAAACCTAGTCCTGTCCAGTGGTCAGGGACCTTGAGAAAGTACTTGTCCATGGCTTCACAGAAACGGGCTCGGTATAGCTCAGGTGACACCACCGTTGGCATTTTGCCTGCAGGGGGGAGAAGACAATGCCAATATATAAAAAAGCATGAACAGACAAACCCCTTAGGTGACGCCGCCATGGGAATGAATGACATGTGGACTAGGTCAAAGGTGACTAAGTGGCATTGCTATTATGTACCAGGAAGAGCAACTGTACCAGGCTGCAAGGGAAGGAGAGGCCTATGTATAACTTGACATTGTATGCAGCCAACCATGCTAAAATCAGGTGCGGGGGAAAATATGTTACACCACTAGTGACTGTGCGGAAAGGGAAGGTGCAGTACTTTTGATGTTCAAGGACTCTTAACCCTTTATTGTTATCGAGAACCACTTCGGAATATATTTGACACAATGCAAAAAAAGTGCTTAAACGTTAACATCCATGTACCTTGGCCACCAAGGATCCCTGCAGATTTTACCACCATCTCAAGCTTCTTGTCCCAGGTGAAGGTTCGTATGTAATCTAGGAGACCATAAAAACGGATTTAATAATGGATTTATTGACGTGCAGTTATATACACATCCATGACCTACAAGAGGTTGGGTGCAGCAGAGGAAGTGTAGACGTATTCGTTAAAGCCAAATACCATTAAACCACAAGCAAGCAAAACCTGATTTGGAGCTTTTGTGACTGCACGAATTACTTTTTGATTCTCTCGGTAAAGTCACGTAGAAAGAAAATAAATTAAATATTGTTTAAAGCTCCAAATCAAGTCAACCTCTACGGGGAGGATTTAAGTTCTCTATCTCTGTGTGTCTGTCTCGGCTTGTGTCTGTCTTTGTTTCCATGTCTCTCTCAAATGGAGCAATCTTTAGAAGAATGTAATCAACCAGGTAGGGTGTTGACTGTTATGTTAGCCGACTGTGTTGTATTACATTATATTTCTAAGTTTACTATCATTGCTTTCTCATTAATTCGTACCCGATGATGGTTGCTTGTGTTGTAATCGAAACGTCGTATTCTATTATTTATTTTCTTTTCTTTCTACGTGACTTTACCGAAAGAACCAAAGAGCATAAGCAAGCAGTTTGTTTCACAGGAGAAAATGTAAATAAATTCAGGAACATTAGTTTACTATACAGGGTAATTCTAAACATGCAATGACAAAACAAAACTACAAATCTATGAATAAAACATTACATTAATATTCTTGGTTCTTTCGGTAAAGTCACGTAGAAAGGAAATAATGAAAATAAAATAATTATTTTTTCCCTTCTATGTGACTTTACCGAAAAAACCAAGAATGAATCCCTGCAGTCACAAAAGCTTTAAATCGAAATATTACATTAAATTAAAAAGCATCTCAAAAGTGTTTATATTGTCACGCTGCCTGGTTCGAATCTTTGAAAATGTGAAAGAGACTGGTTAGGTGCTCCGTCAAAGCACACCAGTGTATTGATTTTGTATTACAATGTTAGTGACATCCCTGACTGCAAACTTCAGTAATTTCTCATCAACGAACGTTTAAATTCACGTCAGAAAGTGGAAGGCATAATCACAAGAAATTTAATTAATGCTTATACACCAATTATTTGACGCTTTCCAACATGCGTTTGACCTCTGAATGAGTGAATTGGTAATGGTAGCACTACCACATACCAGCAGGTAATAAGTCAATCGTAAGCCATGAGATAAACAGGGCTTGGATTGTCGATGTAGCAATGGGTTCTCAAAATTACCATTTTTCCAGAGGTTAAGTCACCAATAGCACTCAGATTTACACCAAAAATTTGCCTCACCTTTGATTTATAATTTTCCATGCCCCACCAGTTATAAACAGAGAGAATACAAATAGTTTCAGCCTAAATAATTGCAAAGCACTACAAAGGGCAGGACTGACCTATAATGCCGAGTACAAGTTGCCCCGTTTCCTCTTCCCAGCCGACAAGGAGAGAGTAGTCAATGATGAGGTGGCTGGAGAGGAAGTGGGCATCCCTGAGGATGGCGGCAGTGAGCGCCGCCTTGCAATGCGGGCGCACGTAGAGCGGGTCGTCTCGCACTACCCGCAGCAGGTTCTCGTCCAGCAGCACGAGCTCGCATGGCCCCTCCTTGCTCAGCTCTGCCTTCACATTGCGGTTCCTCAGCGAGCCCTTCAGGTCAAACACCTGCTCGTATCCCCAGGCAACAGCTCCGATTAGAACGGGTGGCTACGTACGGTGCAAGAGAGGTTCAATGTACATGCAACACAAGAGCAGAGGGGTACATGGACGACGCCTGCCAGAACTCCGAAATCTTCGTCCGCCACTTGAGTTTGACGCACCCGGGCTGGTACCACTGTCTTAAGCTTCCTCCCTCAAGCGCATCTAACCTCAATTCACCTTGTAATCTTACATGCCACACTAACATTCTTAAACCACAGCTACTGAAGGACTGCACACCACATTGATGAAAAATGCAGAAATTAAATCTGCTCATTTGGGGGGGCGGGAGCGAGATGGATTGTTGAATTTCAAACCGGAGGAGATGGCTTAGCAGGCACATTCATTTCAGCAGTGGATATACGAATCGATTGGCGGTGACCCGGGGGTGCCAAAACCTCCATAACTCCGAAACCAGAAGGCCTATGAAGACGGGAGGTGTCACCGAGCCCGATACGCACGCTAAATATGGAAATAAAAAAACACGCAAAATACTCATTAAAGGGGACTGCTGGGGATTTGTGCATGGCAACGGCTGTTGCTTGTTTTGAAAGTACATCAGGATGCTGGTCTGGTCATTCCCCAGCACGTTCTGCTTTTTACAGGGGTGGCCACCCCCCTTGTCTTTGGGAGCGAGACCACTTGGAGGCAATGGCGCACCAGGCGCTCTCTTGGTACGGCTGGCGGTCACGGTCGTGCTGGCGGGGGCGGTCACGGTCGTGCTGGCGGGATCGACATCGTCATCGCTCCCAGCGTTGCCCTCTGGCAGGACAGGGTAGTACCAGCGATGCTCCCAGAAAAAAAAAAAACCTTAAACTATGCCCAGCCCACCAATATTTTGCGGTGACCCGGGCTACCGCCAATCGATTCATATGGCTGATGATAAACTAGCAAAGGAATAGTTAGGGAGGTTTGCTGGTACCTATGTTTTTCAGACAATACCATCGCCAATGCAGTGGACATCATTAACCAGGACATTCATGAATAAACAAAGAGAACGCACCCACCTTCCTTTCCTAATTTTCTGTTGAATTAAGGCCTCCCCCCCCACCATGTGTCAGCATGGTGGATGTTTTAACCATACAATCACACTCATCAGTCCAGGCTGGAGGGGGGGGGGGGGGGATACCCAGGGCTGGTTCGAATATAATTCTTCACTGATGTTAGCCGTGGCTAGGAATAAAGCTCAAATTGCTGATTTCAAAGCATGGTGGACAGGTAATGCACATTTTCCATCTCCCTGCCCCTTAACTGCAGATACATGCGAGGCTCGAGTCTACTACTTGGAGCCGAATACAGCGAGACATTTACGTCTGATGATGTTAGAGTTTCTACTTGAATTTAAGCTCAATTCTACTACCAATAATTCCAATGGTTTGCACAACTGCCAATGAGGCTTTAAAGGCTCGAGTTTGTCCGATTGAAATCAAGTATATTTAAATGAAAATTTTAGATTAATAACAGTTTGACGGCTCATAGGGCCAAACTCAATTGTGGCGCAGGATAATTTACACTTGGCTTGTCATTTCCCCTTAACCACAAAAGTTAATGTAAGCATTTGTAACGTGATACAAATGAACAGCATTCAGAGGGCATGAACTCCCAGATCCTATATCAGCTGTCTGCACTGTATACATCCTGGCTCTAAGATTGCAGTGTCACATTATCGCAGCACCAAAGACCACTTTGTCAAGGCAATTGGCAGTGACATCCTCATTGAAGTTGTCATTTAAGAGAAAGATTAAATAATGGAATGAGACATCACATGGCATGGGCAGATGATATCTGAACACATTTGCTTTTGTATGTATTTCACACATTGTGGTTTGTTTGACCACATTTCAAGCTGGTCGGTGTGGATTGAAGGTGCGAGATGCATAGATGTGGAAACAGAATAGTACAAGGGATGTTTCTGCACCGTCTTCTATTGAACACCATTTTAGCAGAACCCATTAGCAGTGCATCGACAAAGGGCTGTACATTTAAACAATTTCACACAATGTTGTGTGAAGTAACTGCCGGGCATTGAACACCTTGCGAGCCAGGACTAAACCATTACAGCCAAATGTAGACTGTAAACGGAAACTTGCCTGGGTCATTTTCCTGCCATAGAAGAGGTTCTCCATTACCAGGAGATCTTGTTTCTTTTCCGTGTTGGTTTGCGAGTTTTTAAATCCGATTCTGTACACGCCAAGGATCTTGGCGAGAGCCGTTGGACGCTGATAAAGGATCAACACCAGCGTTATCAGTACAAGCATTAGTAACAGCATCAAACACCACTGTTTTACTTTCTTCTGGATGTTTTTATCTAATGTTGTACACTTTTAAACCAACTAATTCATGCACAATCCTATTGCTCCACCATGACCTTAACAGCAGCTTCATCAGTAGACATTTATCAGTTGCTGCCTAAAGCAACAAGGTCTGCCAATAAACTATTTTAAAATTCAAATAATATATATTTACACCATATTATTTGTTCTTTCGGTAAAGTCACGTAGAAGACAAACAATAAAATAATAAAAATAATATAAAACAATAAAATTCTAACGACGTTTCGACTGCAACACAAGCAATCATCATCAAGTGTGAAAACCACAGCAAGAAAAGTGAAAAAAGTGGCGTTTTTTTAACATTAGCACCACGGAGAGCGATTTGGCAGTTATTCAAATGGACGAGTCCATCAATGTTCGGAAAAGAGGAAGGGGGAGACGAAAATAATGGATGCGGTCTGAAAGCCACCGTAAGCGTGAACAATCAATTAAGACCCTAAATGGTTTATCAAATCCTTCCAATGATTGCCAAGCCAGAATCCATCTTCCTCGGTTGAAATTGTCTGTGTATATGTGGATAGCCTCATGAACGAATCTCTCATGATAGCCAGATGGCTTGCAGAGAACCTCCCTCTTGGAGAAGTCAATGTCATGTGAGCCTACTGAATTATAACAGTGAACTGCCACGGCCGAGGTGTTGGTCCTACCGTGTTTTAGGTCTGCTTTGTGTTCACGGATGCGGTCCGAGACATGGCGTTTGGTTTCTCCAATGTAACTACTACCACAGAGGCAACTTAGTTTGTAGACACCAGGGTGCTGTATGTCCGGAATCACATCTTTTACAAACGGAACCAGATCACGGATTTTATGTAATGTCCTAATAGAGACCTGATGGTTCAATGAGCCACTGTCTACAGAAAAGCTACCCATACAGATGCTTACCTGAAACCGGATTCCCACCACTATCCACCCCAGAAGAATTCCCTCATCAAGACTCTGCACCATAGAGCCCAATGCATATCCGACCAGGAACAAATTGCCAGTGAACTCAAGCACGTACACCAAGCTCTTAAGGCTAATGGTTACTCCGACTACACAATCCGCAAAGCTATCACTCCAACCATGAAGAAGGACCCTCTTGAGGAGTCATTCAAAACCTCTCTACCCTACATTGCGGGGATCACAAAAAACATCTCCAAAATCTTGAATACACACAAGATCCAGGTCCGATTCAACACATTACATAAAATCCATGATCTGGTTCCGTCTGTAAAAGATGTGATTCCGGACATACAGTACCCTGGCATCTACAAACTAAGTTGCCTCTGTGGTAGTAACATTGGAGAAAGCAAACGACATGTCTCGGACCGCATTCGTGAACATAAAGCAGACCTGAAACACGGTAGGACCAACACTTCGGCCGTGGCAGATCACTGTTATAATTCAGTAGGCTCACATGACTTCTCCAAGACAGGGGTTCTCTGCAGGCCATGTGGCTATCATGAGAGATTCGTTCATGAGGCTAGCCACATATACAAACAGACAATTTCAACCAAGAAGATGGATTCTAGTTTAGCAATCATTGGAAGGATTTGATAAACCATTTCAGATCTGTATTGATTGTTCACGCTTACGGTGGCTTTCAGACTGCATCCATTATTCGTGTCTTCCCCCTCCCTCTTTTCCGAACATAGATGACTCGTCCATTTGAATAATTGCCAAATCACTCTGTGGTGCTAACGTTAAAAAGCCGCCACTTTTTTCAAATTTTCTTGCTGTGGTTTTCACACCTGACGATGATTGCTTGTGTTGCAGTCGAAATGTCGTGAGAATTGTTTTATATTTTTATTATTTTATTGTTTCCCTTCTACGTGACTTTACCGAAAGAACCAAGAATATGAATCCCTGCAGTCACAAAAGCTTTAAATCAAAATGTATTTACACCTTTCACATTTGAGCTGCAATAAACATATAATACGACCATTACATAAGTTCAGCTACACTGAAACACAATTAAATATTTGTAACAAATTTAAATGGCTGGTTGAACGGACCTGGTTGAATAAGGCTGGCCACAAATAACAAACACCATCCATGGTATGAAATGTAAGTCTATTGGGCTCACATTGGCAGAAATTGACTTCACAGAAGTTAATTGCAGTAGGTGATGAATTACACACTTTATTACCAGTGATATCACTGCAATTGAGGTTGAGCAGAGATAGTGTAGCCATCGTCAGCTATGATCAATCTGTTGAACAAAAGCACCCCTCAATTCATCACCATCTCTCATGGTCCAGTGATGCAATTATCCATTTTGCTCCTAGATAGGAGCTAATTGCATTCATCCCATTACCTTGCCAGTCTTCCTCTTCGGTATGATACCTTCTTTGGCTGCCATACCATCACTATTCTCGACCATTGGACATAATCCCTTTATAAAATGGCATCCTACCCACTTTTCTTAAAGTTAAAGTGATGTCTTTAACTTGCATGTGTTCTCTTTTCCACAATTCACTTATTTTTTGTGACTATCCATGCTACCAATCTATGTCACAATAGGTAAAATGACCAAGTGAAATTTAATTATTTGGGTATATTAGCATGCTGATTTTCATTACCAAAATTACGTAAGATGATGCGGTACTTAATATTGTAAGGACAGTACGGGGCCTAGTGGCCGTAAATAATGATTGCAGCGATGAGGACAGGCAGGGTCAAGTGAGGTAACTGGGTGAGGAGTCAACGCAGGGGTAGAGATGGAACCCCCGGGGTGTTATAGTGAGGCAAAGGAGAGCGTTCGGGGAAAAAGGGACGAGGCAGAGCCGAGGGGAAATAAAAGGCAGCGCAGAGCGGGGCGCTCCTGTGGGGATTAGGGGGTTCAGACCATCGCTGTCATCAGGGTGGATCGCCCTCATCGTCTTGGAAGGCTGGGAAAGAAGTTATACATCTTTACCGTAGCTACTACATCGACGGCTCCTATATAGTCAGTCAGCTATATAGTGAACGTCGTGTAGCAGCTACATAGAGTCACTCAGTTGTTTATAGTCAACCTGCGTCCACCTGATAACATGGCAGAGTCGGGTGGACTGTAATATAATTAATATATGCAACTTAAGTAAGACAGCGTCTCTGAGCGCTACATTACAATATTGTTATGAACAGAATTGCAACTCAAGACCATTTTAAGTCAATGAGAGGACAAAAGCCAAGTGGATCTTACCTTTTGGGTCACAGCGTTGGTGATGTAGTGGAAGTAGTGTGGCGCAAACTCCAAGAAGGACTGCACCTCCAGACGAGACATTTGCTTCAGAATAAAACGCTCATCTGCAGCAGTGAGAAGGCAGAAGGGCTACTGCATTAGGTTAGTGGAAAAGCCAGAGCAGGGAATTTGCACTCCGACAGTTCATTACTGAACCACTTTACTCAAACATGTTTTATTTACCACAGAAATCCAACGAGATTAACTGCGTGCAGATTGTCCAGATTGCATATAAATTAACTACCTCGTGAAAAAGGGGATTGGGAAATTGGTATTTCACTTAATTTGTGCACTTTACTCGGGTAAATGGTTGTATTAGCTTTTCACGCTTGACCAATTATTTTAAGAGGACGCATTCAACGTCTGCACCCTATTCTGTGAATAAACAACACTTTTAGATCTTCTCCTAAGCAATCTTTGTCCACGTTTAGTTGGCCAGGTCACACGGTCCGTCCCTGCAAGCCTCACCCTGCGTCTCGTAGAAAGCGGAGCCAGATTTTCCTCCGCGAGCTTGCCACGGCATGCAGTGGGAGAGTGAGTGGATGAAGTCTTCCTCACTGCTGCTCAAGATCACCTCGCGCAGCTTGCGGAACTCCTCCCCATAGTACACGCGACAGTAAAACCGGCAACTTGAGTCGGAGAACTCTGCTCGGTCAGCAAAAACAGACAGCAAGCTGGGTCAGCTGGGTTTTTCTGACAAAAACGTCCTAGAAAAGATGCTGTATTATTAGGGTGGCCACCCGTTCTGTTTTTCCCAGGATCGTCCAATTTTTGCAATAGCAGACCTGGGAAACCTGCAAGTATTTCCAGAACATTAAAATTCCAATTTTTTTTCAGTTATGCAATAACACAATTCAAGACAATGCGTTTCCATGTAGTTGTCTCCTATTCCGGTATTGTGTACCTCAGCGGGTGTTAATACTGTGTTGGCAGTGGAACAAGAGCAAAAATAAACACCAAAACATTTGCCAATAAGACGTTTGAGGATGGCCCTTCTTCAAAGCACAAATCATTCCTGTGCAACGAAGGGCCATTGCCCAAAATCTTTCCTATGTATATGTTCTTTCTAAAAGGTCGTGTTATCTACGTATTATACAGTTTACCATTTTCAACTACAAATGTATGTTTGTCTGCTTTTCCACACTTTGTAACACAGGCTGAATCTGATTCTCCATTAATCTTGTTCACAAATAAGACAAACATACCGTTTTCCTTTCTATTGCCAAGAAGGATTACCTAGGCAGTATTTAATGCACTCCAAATAAGTGTCTGTGGATTTTTAGAATTTCTCCAACTCACGGATTTCAATGTGGGGGTGGACGGATTGCTTCTTTTGTTTGTCAGAGCCATCAGGTTCATCTGTAGGAAAAATTAAAATGTCAACAAAACTGAGGGGAGTTGTGAAGCAGTCTTCCACACAATTGTGGTCTGGAAGTCACAAAAGTGAAAACAAATCTAAGGAAGTTTTTTTGTGAAGCCCCTTATTTATGTACTCAAGAAAATAAAACGCAATGTTGGAGGCAGCTCTATTGAAAAGAGTAAGAGTAATTGCATCTTCTTTATATCCTGTTCTTAAAACATTAGAATTGTATTAACAATTGACGGACAATGGCCATAATATACTTAAAAAAATACTGTACAGAACTTATGATCACCACACATGTAGGCACTTGCCAAAAAACAATGGCTTCGGTTAAGTCATTAAATTTCGTTAAGCTTCCATTCAATGATGCACAAATCTATTTTAAACAATGCCACCAACCAACCAGGTATGCTTGCCAAACAGGTTAAACCAGATTAGAAAACAGAACAGGGTGGGTGCCGTTCGTGTTGGCCATAACCACGCAACTTTATTTGGATGCCAATGACAAATGGAGACAAAGTAGGGAGAGACGAAAACGATACGTTGCGAAAGATGACAGATCTGTGGAATATGCCTCAGCTTCTTTAGATTAAGAGGCCATCATAGCGATTGTGGTTGCCACAACATTCCATTGCAGTTGTTGCAGAGTCGACACCTGACCTCCAAAGTTTGCTTTTAGTGACCTCTGGATGCCAACTTTAGTAAACGTTTATTTTGTGGGTTGACAATGAGGCTCTTTTCAAATCAAAGTTAGTTAAATAAAAATAATGGCAAGTCAACAGCTAGACATTGCAAAAGCATACAAATTGTTAGATTTTTTTCATATATACAGCATATACGTTAGATGCGATCAATTAACATCAATGATTCACTGACCGCTGTTAAATGTAAATGCCAAAACAGCCAATGCAGTCATTACTTTCTTCTTAAAATAATAATTGAACACAGATGTGTAAAAGGGGCACCATTGGTTGACCAAAGTACCATGCAGTTTTGTCAAAATATAAAAAGGGACGCGCAGAGTACATCCCCTACAAAACTGTAACACGAAGCCCCACATGCATGGGTGGTAGGCACGTAACGATTTGCCCACTCGTGATCAATTGTCATAATTGAGGGTCTCAATTCACCACAATAAATCGCCTGTGGGGAACGTAGCACCTCCTAGTGGCTTACAGCAGTCACGTGCACAGATTCAGACAGGACATAAGCATCGCCAAGTCAATTGTTACCACAAACTATTCAATGGTACGCAATCGTCAGCATAAAAATGGTAAAAGTTATATAGCGATTCTTATGGTAATCATTACACATTTGACAAGCAGTCTGTAAAAAAATTGTGGTCCTAAAGTAGCTTTGCCGATGTGTAACAGGAAAAAAATGAAAAAACAAACCCAGGCCCTGGGCATCGGGTACATCCTTGGACCCCTGCCCAACTGTGCACTGGACCGATTCCGCTCCCCGCAGGGTCTCGGCCTTCTTCCTCTCTCCGGCCTCGACAGGCGGCTTAGTCACCGTGCCCCGGAAGAAGGAGAGCATCCCTCCTCCTGAGATCTTCCTCCCTGTGCCACACATGGTCACAAAACAAAGTCTCCCTCCATCCATATTAAAACTGATAAGGCAAGGGGCTGTCAGAGTGCACCTGTAAAGACGACTTGACACTTTTGAGATGGCTCCTTTATTGGAGACGCGTTCATTTCATACAGGCGAAGACCCTACTGCTGCAACAGCGCCCAGTCTCCCGCGCATCTCCCTTGTATACGGACCGAGGCCACGCCCCCCTTGCCAAACCTTCTCGCCGACTCTAGACGCTCGCTCAACCAACAGATTCTACCGTCCTCTTCCGTCACCTGACCGCACGCTCCCTTCGATCATTCCCGTAGCCACTAGTCCCTTTGCACTCACAGCTAACGCCTGTTAATTACGTCCCGTGGCCACTTGTCCCTTCACGTCGCAAGTAGACTCCACTATCATTACGCACCTATGAAGCCCACTGTAGTGCATATCAGGGTGGGTGTAAAGCTCAGTATACATTTTTTTACATAATCAAACCCATACAATTTAATGCAACTTCTCTGGTCTATGTGCTGTCAAGGCCATTGTCCAAAACGTCACCTATGTTTTTAAGGCAGTGCTGTTGATTAATTTATTGAGTTTTTGTTATTTGTGCACCACTGCCAGTGCAGCATCACCAAATAATGAATACAATTAAAAAAGGAACTACAAAACTGCAATTAGATAAAGGCCCAGGTTTAGGCCACTATATACAACTAATGGCACATTAGTGCAAGGCAAACTGCTTTGAATTATAGGAATCGGCTGGTAATTATGGTGCTGCAATTCAATTGAGTTTCGTGATTTACACTGAGAGCCCACCTCGGGAACAATTATAATGCAACTTTTTTGTTTTACTCAGGAAAGCCTCCGAGTTTCATAACTGCTACATTCTCCATTGGGATGTTTGAAAAATTAATTAATTTAAACGAATGTCCGACCTGTAAAAAAAAGTACCTGGAAAATACTCCAGGGTCTGCAGAGATAATGGACAACTTTCTTATATCCCTCTACCAACCCAGCAATATAACAGGGTACACCAAGTCACAGTAGGCAGTGCGAGTAAAGTGTGGGTACTCCCACCCCCTCCCTACCATTCTTCCAAGACATTTGTCGGGGAAGAGTAGGCTACACCCTTTTAGGAGGGGGCTCTCTTTAGAGCTCTTTTTGGAGGTCCTTCTGCAGCAGTGTAGCCGAGCATGGAATCTCAGGAAAAAACCCTTTTACCTTTACAACACCCAGGGGGCCACACACCATCATACGAGTGAGATGGACCTAGCTTGCATGCATTGGTAATTGCAATCAAACACCACTCAAACCATTAGTTTTTGTACCAGTCTCTGGCTCAGAGGAGCGACCGCCGGACAAGATGGTCTCAGGACTCTTGCCCGGGCTGACGATCTTCTCCTTTTTCTCCACACCACTGTGACGACAGAGTTAATAATGTCAGATGCATACTGTCCATGAGGGAGCCACACATAGACCCCCCCCCCCCCCCACTGTAACATGTCAACAGTAATGGTGATATGGTTAGAACCACTCCCGGATATTATGTTACACTGGGTATTAATCGAAGGCCGAGCCAAATCTAGCAGAGGTCCAGGATCGGTTCGGCTATGGTTCACCACCTATATTAAGCTGTGGCCGAGAATCACTCAAGTTTTGCAGCAGAGCATGCTGACCAGTGCCAAAGAAAATATTCCCTGTGTAGCCTTTGACTGTTGGGGCACGTGCAGTTCACGAGCATCTGATGAAGGCAGGCACGGCACACAAGGGTATGGTTGGCCAGGACCAAGCCTGACCACCTTCGTCTCCCCTAGTGGTGATGTTTACACATCACACCAGGTATTAATGAGGCCAAGTCGACCAAAGAATGGTTCGGATAATCTCTACCTGGTAATAGCTGCGAGTGGGAAGCGGTTTAGTAGCGCAGTGCACTCACCACTACACTGCAGCTTCCCCACACCACCCACACCCCCAATTGTATCAACCACACATCCGCAGGTGGTGGTAAAACAGGAAGTACAAATCTATGCTCATTACCACATTGTCTAGGTCAACGATTAGTAGATACTCAGATTTGCAAACTTGAGATGAAGGAATTTCTGAAGGATTTTGGGAAAGAGGCCCTACAGCTAAAAAAAACACTGCTTGACAACTTGATTGAGGGGCCGTACAGTGATACGAGGAGACATATCAAGAAGATAGGATGGAGGGCGTTTGAGCCAAGGACCTGCCATTGGGCAGAGGAATAAATCAAAGTGTTGGTGTTAACGGTCACAAGTATTGGTATGCTGGAAAGTACCCCGCGCTGCCTGTAGACTTTTCACTTCCCATTCTTCCCAGGACTCGAACAATTTCCTCCAGTGCAGCCTTGTGCTCTTTGCAGCTGGCAATCAAAACATACATATTTGCCAGTCAAACCTCAAAACTAGAAATAGCTTGGAGTACCTTAACAAAATTAAATCTCAAAAACAATACAACTCTCAAGTAACAGATCATGTGAATTGGTGCGGTGTGATTTACATTAAGGATTTTGAGCATAAGGGGACAGTAACCAGATTAAAAAGAAACATCAAGTCAAGTTTTATTTTTGTTACAATCTTTAAAGCCTTTTCATCTATGATATATTTGTATTCATTGATAGACACATAAATACAAAAGTTTAAATACATATATAAATCACACATTTGACCCTTTCCTTTAAAGAGATACAGCTATTATGCAAAGCATATATAAAATCACAGCATTCGTTTATATTTCAAAATAAATTGGTTTTAGGGTGGAACAGCAAGGTAGCAGTGAACACACTGCACTATACAAACTTGGCGACCCGAGTTCCATTGCCAGACAGCTGATGGTGGCAAGTGTCATCTAAAAGAGCCCCAGGGCCCATCCCATTGGCAATCTGCACTGACCAGCAGCATTAGTGAAGTTGTCAAACAACCCAGATGACTGATATGGCATGGGGGAGGCTAAAACCAGCAAGACTAAATGGGCTTGCACATGATTATTATAATTATACAAATTGGATTAAGATAAACATTTTAACACGTAGGAAGGACAAGATTAAAGGGCTCGCATAATGCGCGTTGACTCATTAATCTCCCCCACACTTTGCGCAAGAGCGCAGAAGTGTGGTCACCACATCTACGCCTCTATAAGGAACGAAACAGATGGACTTCTCCACAAATCTGGCTGTCGCCTGATGAAGCTAGTTGTAATTACTGGCGAAACGTCGTACTCGGTTTGTAAATTTTTGCCTTGGCTCTCCAACACACCGTTGTGCTGTACTAGTGACGAATTTGCATGTTTTGTTGATCTGACAACCCTTACTAATTGGCTGTGTCGGGTGGTGGCAGGTTTTAATAACACACATTTATATATTTACACGATCTAGCTAAAAAACTATTATGCAAGATACACATGTAATTTATTTCAGATCTTTAGGGAATTACAAATACAATGTGTTGGCCTTCAAAATGGGGTGGTATACCTGAGCGCAAAGGCAATGATTGTGCTGGGTTCCTTTTCACACACTACAATGGGCACTCGCTCGAACTCAAATACGTAATGATCGTCCGGCTCACTGCAGCACAGCATCAAGAAAAGAGAGCAAAAACCACTGTTAAAAATGTAACAAATCAATAACAATGCCGAAACGCACGTAGACTAATGCATCATCAGTAAGCATTTAATATATATAATTTCATCAACAAGTACAAAGTAACATTATTTCAGGTGTGTCACCGAAATTAATTGCTGGAGGACTCACCGCATATACCAGAATCTGGTGCAGTAACAAGGTCAATAAAATACTTTCTAGATCCTCTGTCAAAAGTCACAAAACCTTCAGGTTGTGCATTCACTGTGAGTTTTTACTGCATTAAAAACGAATTCAACGGTTGTCTATTCTATGGACCCCTATAACTAGGCATTTGGTAATTGACCATCCTTTCAGCACATTCATTGAGGTCGAGAGTAAATCACAAAGGATTAGACGTATGTAAACAGAACACATTGTATATTTACGAATCAAAATGGGCCCTTAACATTAGTGACACAAGTGAATTCGAAAGAGGCAATGTTAAAAACGCACAACCCACAACTTTCAAAGTGCCACAATAGGTCTGTAATAATAAGAGCTTACAAAGGCAGAGGAATGGGGTTGTAGCTGATGCCAGGCAGGAGTGTGGCTATGATGGCTTTCATTGTTGACTTCTCCTTAAACTGGGCCTCCTGGGAGGTGCCAAAGAATCCTTCCACCACATCTGAAAAATATTTAGGGCAGATGAATCCGTAAGGCAGTCAAACACGATAGATTCGTTTTACACGTCGGCACAAATATGGCTGTCGCCTGATGAAGCTAGTTGTAATTACTGGGGAAACGTCGTACTCTGTAAATGTTGTGGGGCTTGGCTCTCCAACACACCGGTGTTCTGTATTGGTGACGAATTGGCATGTTCCGTTTACGTGACAACCCTTAATAGTTGGCTGTGTTGGGTGGTAACGGGTTTTAACGAGACATTTATACATTTACGTGATCCAACTCAAAAACCTCTCTTATGGACGATAGATGAAACTGACCAGGCATAATGGTGATACAGCATCCGTGCATACAAAATGGCATGAGTAAAACTATTCTATTCGTACTTAAGATTTTATATAAAAAAAAGCTTGCACCATAAGCAGCGAGATCAAGGAGTAATGTGCAGGAGGATGGGTAAGGAGTTTGAGTAAATCCAATTATGGTTCATGCCACTGTAAAGAAAAACATGTTGGATTGCACACACCACGTTGATAGAAGGAAAGGGTGGTGGTCAAATGACAGTTGGTGGGGACCCAAGGCAGAGGGGGGGGGGGGGCGAGGGGGAACACCCAAATGTGGGGCCGTAAAAAAAGAGAGCTTCATAACTCGGAACACAAATCTTTATCTAGACTGGAGGAATTGAACCGACGCAAACTGTGGAATTGGTGTGATGAAATCGGCTCGTGCCAAGTGGATTGCAGAACCAAGTGAGACAGCAATGGCTTGGAGAGGGCTTCGCCTAGCAGAGGATTGCTTGTGGATGACGATGGCGTTTCAGTGGGTCGAGTGCTCGGCGAGTGGGGTTGGAGCGTGTCCCCACAGCTTACCCTCCTGCGGTTGCTCAGGCTCTGTGTTGTAGGTGGGTGCCTCATAGGGCGACGGTGGCTGCAGGTGCGTGGCGCTGGTGCCCGGAGGACCCAGCGAGCTGCCTTGTTCCTCTGCACCACCAACCCACCAGACATGAGTTAATCGTATCGCAGTTTGACGATGCAATCAACTCAAATTAAAAAAAAAATCTTATGACAGTTATTCATTTGAACCATGGGTGGGGAAAACATCTGGCTGGAAACTTCATTTCATATGGCTCGTGGTCACGGGGCCTAACACTTTGAGATGGCCTGCAAACAACATTCACATGTCACTACAAGCATATTATCTGCAATAAAATCGGGTATTAAAAGTAAATATTGACCTGGAAACCTAATTTTGCATGCTCACACACCTGTCCAGCCACCGACCTCTTGCCCTTATAAAAGTCAGACACGTGTGTATTTTAAAATCCTATTCAGTCAGGAGTAACAAAAGTTCCCTTGCCCATGACTTGAGCAATCACACAATAATACTGCAACGTCTAAGAAATTATATGTTTTATTTTGTGTATTTAAAGCAGTGTACTGTGGGGGAAGCATACCCTTATCGCTGCTGGTTGACACCACCCTTGGAGAGGTATCGTGGGCACTGTTCTGTAACCAAATGACACAAAAACAGGGAAAATTATATTGTGCGCAACGAGCAGTTGTTTGCCCATAACAAATCACCAGGCATTCTATACCGGTGCATTGGTAAATTGTGGACGTGGGCCCCACCCTGTCATCAGCATGCCGGTGGCGTCCAGGGCTCGGTGGCACTGTCTGTCGCTTCTTCCCCTTCTCCTGATGGAACATGTCCTGAAGCCTGCCAGATGTACATGACATGGGCACACAGACACGGAGATTCTCCAATAGTTACTCAAGTTTTCACATACACCAGGTCCTTCAAATAAAAGCCCAATTCAGGGGTGCGATGCCCTGGTAATACATTCTATTTACAAAACCTGGTTATTTGCAGACCAAATTTAGCCCACTTGCAACTTATAATTGTATTTATTTTGCTATGTTATACAAATGATAAAAAGATGTAAGATAATAAAAACATCTGAAAACACCGAAAATGACAGGCACAAGCAAATGCTACAATAGTTACTGCACAGTTCGAAACAGACTCTGGTGCACGATATTTCTGCGCTGCATGAAAATGCAGCACACAGCATTGTTTTGCACATTTTTTATTTTTTGAGCTTTGCAAGTACAATGTGACATGGTCCAGCAGTAGCAGTCCCTGCCTGAGAGGTTCAGTTCAAATCCAGTGGCCGCCCTGATTATTTTTGCAGGTGGAATAATATGCGCAATCTACTTCACATTCGAAGATGAAAGATCCACCTCATGTCACTCAAGACTAGGCCATTGATTGTTGCAGTCCGGGTCCAAATGTGCCAAATTCTAAAATTACTCACAAAAGGAATTACACGTGAATAATCACTCCCCTACAGGCAGCCATATGCCTGTTTGCAGGCCAGGTGCCATGTGACCTTGTGTCCACAGGGACTGCAGCCACAAGGGGTGCCCTTTCCAATGGTTTGAGATGTGATGAAAGGAGACATCCATGCATATAAGGCACTATGCAAAATACATTAGTGATTTTCAAAAGCCCCAATTACTATCGATGTTTAAAAGGTTCCTCCAAATTACCACGTTACATGTAAGACTTAGTATATGCACTTAGGGTACTCTGAAGACACTATTAATGATACAATCTAACAAGGAACAAATAATTATAAAAACTGCACTCGCAGCGTGACTTACCGGTTGTTCCAGGCGTGGACCATCTCGCACAGCTTCTGCTTCTGTCCAATCAGCACATCGGAGAACAGACGGGGCTGGTGGGAGGCATCCCCTGCGCTGGTCAGCAAGCGAGCCTGTATCTTCTCCAGCCATTCTTTGAATTCACTCTCCTCCATCTGACCGCAAAGACAATGGCACATTAGCAGGAGCCATGTAAGCAACACCTATCGCCATAGCACCCGGAATAGGTCCGATCGTCAGGTCTCAAGAGGCCAAGCAGATTTTGTCCTGGACAGTGCTCGGATGTGTGGCCTCCATGCATAAAGCACGAGTTTGCAGGTTGCTGCAGGACATCTTCAGGAGGGCAGTGTAGTAAAAATCCATTGTTGTACAGTACTATGCTCCGATATCCATGCTTCCCACCTTCAACCCACACTGATCAGTGACGATGTATGATCAAAACAACCCCCACAACTGACATGGTGTGGGAATGCCCTCATCCAACAGTGAATTAACAAAATGGCTGTACAAGTGAGAAATAAATGTAGATTGACTAACTAGTTTCACGATGGTTGGGGGGGGGGGGGGGGATGTGCCACCCACACTTTCAGTCAAGGTAACTGCTGCGCAATACGAGACCGCACCTCTTTCTGTGCGAACATGTCTTCCACCTTCTCCTCCCGGCTTTTGTTGAAGGTCTCCGTTTTGAGGGAGCTCAGCCTTTCATCGACAGCCTGGTAAACCTGCTGCACACTGGAACCAGAGGGGGCAAAAACAGCTGTGCACCTTTGTGGCACAAGGCAACGTGCACCAACGCAGTTCACCTTTTAGTTTACAGACCGCCACGTTGCAACTGTGACACCGTGCCACGTACTGTGTGGTTAGGTCTTTAAGGTCAGCAAGCCGGGTGGCCAGGGGCAGGTGGTGTGGCCGAATGCACACCACCAGGGGAGGCAGGCAGATCAGGCGCAGGCGGATGGAAGAGTGGCTGTGGAAATACAAGACAGTGATAAAGGTTCATCGCTCTCTCCACCACGACAGACACTGCATTCTACTGGGGAGGTAAAAAAAAGTCACTTTAAAAAGGACGATTGTGTAAATTTGCATCGCATTTGTTACATTCTGAAATTGATAAAGGTAGAGATAAATTCGAACTGCAGAAAGGCACATCAATTCAAACATGAAATCACTCAAATGCCCACTAAGATCATTAGTGGGCATTTGGCATGGCCAGTACAATGCCCAGACGTCTTTGTTTCCCCAATACTGCCAGATTCGTAGCACTAAACAACCATCCCTACCCCACCCCCAGAGGAACACTTGTGTTTAGCAGCAATAATCACCTGAAAGACGCAACCATCTGGTTATGGGAGAAGTACTGGTGGTAGTCCTGGTGGATGGAATGGCCACAGGGCTCGGCGCTGGCTCTCCGCGTATACCGCTGACCGTAGAACCGAAGCTCCAGGTACTTGGCAAATGACATGGCCCACGAGTCGGCCGAGAGAGGCACCACTGGTGTCGCCTGTTCCAGGAAGCACAGGGAAAGTATACCAGGGACTGTTCTACTTATGAACATTCGACTTATTCAGAGATACAAACAAACTTGTCCATAGGAATAGGTTTTACCCTTTTAACTGGCACAAAAACTGATACCTTTATTCAAGGCATCATGTTTGCAATAACCACAACACAAGCAGTCAAAATGCAAACAAAAAAGACAACTCTGATAATAATATGCACTGTCCTTGAATTTGATTGGTCCACACCCGAGACAGCTTTTCTTAGAGCCTAGTCTCCATTGGTGTTGGACCAAAAGACGCCAAAAGGCGTACAACTCAAAAACAGCGCACTATCAGAGTATTGAGGGCTCGGGGTGAGCATTTACATTATGAGACCTCCTTTGCCAGAAACAAGATATAGGAATAGGTTATTATCAGAGTTGTCTTTTTTGTTTGCATTTTGACTGCTTGTGTTGTGGTTATTGCAAACATGATGCCTTGAATAAAGGTGTCAGGTTTTGTGCCAGTTAAAAGGGTAAAACCTATTCCTATATCTTGTTTCTGGCAAAGGAGGTCTCATAATGTAAACTTGTCCATATGTCCAGTTGCCTGTTTGGACTGAGTCGCAAGTTCAACCACCACACAATAGATGGCGGTGGTTGTTGGTGTCAAAGGGTGGAGGGGATGAGGTCCTGGAGGAAGAACAGGAGGCTGAGCAACCCAAAGGGGTTCAACACCAAGCAGCTGGCTGAAGGTGTCGGCACGATTAATAAGGAATTGGGTTGTTGAGTCTCAGGACCCAAACACCGAAAGGTTTACCAAGGTGTTGGGAGCTGTTCACGATGCAATTGCCTGTTACAAGTTGATTTATGAAGAGCAACTGTTCAGACATCTCTTGGTGCTTGTGTTTCCTCTCTACTCTCTTAAAAAACTGACCAAGGGAATTAGCATCCACATCTGCAGAACATAAAGAACCAGTGGCATCTACATCTGCAGAACATAACTAGCGGCATCTACAGGAGCTAAGACAACGTTTAAAGCCATTCTCCACGTTTAGTGTACATGCTGTACAACATGTTTGGAAGCGACAGGAGTAAAGTTGGACTTGGGAACAAATCAACTTATGAACAGATCTCTGGAACCCAACTCGTTCGTGAGTAGAGTCCTTGTATTCATGAGCACACTTCAACATTAGCATGCACGTTATGTAAACTCAAACTTTTATGTTCAGATGCACACCTTCAGCAAATGGCCAAAACACAACTATGGCAATTTGAGCTGTTGGGAGGCATTGGCAAGATTCCCTAAAAATTCGACAAAGGGTAACATTTAGCAACGACAGTCTAGCTCCTGAACAAGCTAAAAACCGGGTGACAATCTACGACCAGAAATAAATGACAATTTCACATTCTAAAAACCCTAGATAACACTTAACACCACAAACATGCCGAGCAATCACGGATCTTTGTGTGCAGGTGTGTGCAGGCACACCTGCTGGCAAAGGCAGCACCAGGACCAGGTGAGGATGCTGTGCTGGTATCCGGGCACGGGCGACTGCAGCTCCTTAAGCAGGATTTGCACGCAGCCATTTCCGTGCACAAACCGGCGGGCATGCTGCACCATGGGGGTGTCGCAGTACATGCTCGGGCAGTTGTACGACGGCCTGCACACACATGGCAAGCGATGCCGTCACTCGCTGGGTTGCTGTGTCCATGCTGGACAGTGGCGCAGCTATTATGGGTCCAGGGGTTCACTGTGCAGATGTCTTCCGAGAGTGTCCAGCGTGCATTGCGTCTCAAGCACAAGTTCCGCATTGAGCGTGTTGTGTCTCCAGTATATGCCCCACGTGTGCATCTCCAGTTCAGCATTGTTATTGTTTAGGCAGTTCAGCTGGGATAAGACACAGACTCCCCACCCCCCCCCCCCCACCACGAATTTAATTCCTTGTACCAGAGCCCATGCCATTCTATCAGACCTCTGGTCACATTTCCTCAGGCGAGCTCTTCCTCACAACTGAATACAGATTGGTCTGCCAGCAGTGTTTATGTTCAGGTAGTCATGTTTGTTCATACACTGCTGGGCAAAGGCGCTCAAGCCGTACTGTTTGACCGTAGTTCACAACTTGTCTTGGGGTTGACAAGTAGGAAGCACCGCGCATTGGAGTCAAAAATACAGCAAATATTGTTGCACTGCCTTCTGCTGACAACGCAGACCCACAGCATGAGCCTACATCACCTGTTTTGTGAAGGTCAGCGCTACTCAGGCTCAACCCTGCTTGGTATCCGAGATTTGACAGGATTGGGTGCACTTTGCAAGTGATTGGGTCAGAGGCTGTGTTTATGCACACAGCACAATGGTGCAAAATTGCTCAGCAAAATCTAAACGTGGAAGAACTGCGTCTACGAACAGGATAGTCCATGTGGAAGCTTGGCCGTGGAGGAATCCATGTCACAATCTATTATCCGAGTGCCAGCATGGTTGTTAAGTAGATTAAATGACGTACCTGAAACAGTACCGCTCCAGAAAAAGCCCAAGTGTGATATCCTGTTTTCCGTAAAATTCCATTGTCACCAACCTGTATGCCCAAAATCAGCCATTAATATTAAATAACGTTGGGCACTAAATTATCAGCATGACTTAGCATTATATTGTTATTAACTTTATCATCCTTATGGATAGATTAGTGTAAATATCACAGAATTTGTAATGAAGTTGCAGTTCTACACGTGTGCAGGATAAACATTTAAAATTGACTCCTAAAATTGAAAGTGTTACAAGGTGTGCATACTGTGCAGAGTCAAACCACTCACCATGGGCTTACACAAGGGTTGGGAGCATTGCTTGAATACAGGGAGAAGCTGCTGAACAGCACGCAGAGCTTCTGATGGTGCAGGGGGTTCAAGCTGTCAATCTGACCAAAACAAAGTGGTCGCAGCTCACCTTCACGTTATAATAAAATCACAACTACACACCGTTATCAAATGTGGCAAACCAAAGGTTATTTCAGTTCTTAGAAAAGGAGAGCTAATGATAAACATTTTCTTTATTACACTGCAGAGAAATGGAACTGGCCAAACATTCCGATGCATTAATCCCTTGAAAAGAGTATTGATGCCCAGTGAGGCTCTTGTATAAAACAATATTTTACAATTATTTTTAATGGCATTATAGTTTATTCTGGGTATAATTCAGCGCGAATAAAAATCACTGCAAGAATTGTCAATTAAAAACTCCAAAAAGGAAATTACACTGGATGCATTTGATTGAGCATTTTACATGTGGAAAAACTGGACTACCAAAAAATAACCGATGTATATGACAGCACAACTCAAACGTCTGCAGAGATGGGTTCACAAGCATACTTGCTATACCGTACTCTCCTTGAACGGAAACCTTTAAAACAACAAGTTTGGGAGTTACACAAACATGCGACCCAGTAAACCTCCAATTCCAAAGTGCTGGATTACAAGAACGCACCACCACAAGTTAGTGTAACACGGTGGGAATGTATGCACACGTTTTTTCAGAACACTGCCCCAACTACCTTTCTTTGCCAAGGGTCTTGCTGCTTCGATTCCTCGGCACAGTCCAAGGATGCCCAGGAAGACTCTCGTTCACGGCAAGCTTGCTCTGGATCGTGGTCCTGGTCATTCCAATCCGTGCCAGGTCTCAAGATGTGCCGGCTTTGTAGCCGCAGGCTGCCCCCCTGTGCCCGGTAGTCGGCCAGGAGCCGGGCGAGCTCCATGTTCTTGGCCAAGGGCTCTATGAGTTTGGCTGAAAGCAGCTTGTGGTTGGGCATCTCGACAACAACGCTTGATGGGAAAACGGGAAATGAAACGTGCATTAAAAAGCAGCCAACAATATTCCAAGTTACGGTTTGACTTTACTTCATTAGGTTATCGCTACTCTTAACAAAATCGGTGGGCTTTAATCCGTTTAAGGGCACAGAACACGAATGTAGTAGGGACAACTGCACGTAACAACATGAGCCTTACAAGGGTCTTTGAGAAGAGACAGCGCCGTTGGGGACAAGATGCGCGGTGGTCATATCCCGTAGCAGCTGCTTCTTGCGACGGTCTTCCATGTCCTTGGCTTCCTTGTGGCACAGCGCTGACCAGAAAATCTCATCGGAAAAGTAGCAGCGGCAAGGGCTGCGTGAACCAGCATCGGTTAGTACAAATGGCTCAGGAAACGTCATGTACGGAGACACCGAAAGGATGACGTCCCTCATCTCCGTCACGAACGTGCGGGTGATTTTTCTCAGTCGCTCCTCGTGGCTCTCCTCCTCAGAGCGTGCAGAGTGGCCCATGTCGTATCGCAGTGGGTCGTGGAACTGAGACTCGTCATCCACCCTTGTCTTGACAGCTACCTCACACCTGGCACGTAGTGGGTCGGAGTGGTCTGGAAATGGCTGAGTGTATGTTTTTTTGGTCAAACTGCTCATGCTGCTCCCATCTGCCATATCTGCTGCCCCTTTACCTAGAGTAGGTTTAGATGCATCTTCATTTTCAGGGGACAATGATTTCATTGCGTCTCTGCTGCTATCATAAATACTTGATGCTTTAGTAATAGCATGATCCTCCTTGCTATGGAGAGCAAGCATCGCTGGAACATGGTCTTCAACGTTAGTCTCAACTTTTTGACCTTTATGAATGTTAGTCTCCATATCCAGCCCAAATGGGGAATCGTTAAGAGTCGGAGGCTCCGAGCCATCATTCTTGACATTAGTGATTGAATGCTCTCCAACCAAAACCTTTGCACAATCTAGACAGTCTGGTCTAAAGTGACCGGTTGGATCATCTTCAATCACTCCATCTGCACTTAAATTGGAATTCAGGTCTCCACTCGTTAACGTGCGACCACTCAGGTTGTCCGCTTCCTGGGCATCGTCCGAAGAGTCGTGTGCTTGGTCTGTGATGCTGCTCCGAAGCCCATCACTACTCTTGGAAGCAGGGTCTTCAATGTGCGCGATGGCCCTGGTTTTATTGCCAACCTCAGAGCCAATGCTTTGCAGGGATTCGGCTCGGGAGAGCGAGGGCGGCCAGGCAAACTCATCCATGAGAAAGGAAATCTCCAGCCGAGAGTGGTACACCATGTAGACCATGAAGAGGATGATCTCCTTTACGCGGGCCAGCTCATATGCCCCGCTTCCCCGCAGTAGCACTGTGCAGCCCAGATGCTGTGCACAGCCCTCAAAGAACATCAGTGTCTTGGACTTCCCTAAACAAAACAAACAGCACAGCGCACACGGATGAGATGACAATAGTACAAAAAGGCCATGGAGTATTTGATTTGTTTTACTACAAACAAATTTATAGGTAGTGTTTCTTTAGAGCCATGCCACAGTACATTTACAAGCGGATGGTACTACTATGTTAGCAGTGCATGTGCAATTAAAACTATTGTTTAACATTTAAAAAAATGCAAATTCCAAAGAAGTAGAACACTGAAATGATGTCACTCCCAAAAGCGTATAATGCCAATTAAAATCTAGGAATGCTTTACCCAGTGTCAATACCCTTATTCAGGAAGGTCCTGCATTGAGATGTTTGGCCAATTCCATGACATTTATTCCATGTGGGAGGAAACCAGAATACTCGGGAGAAACCCACACATTGAGGGGGCGACACTCGGCACTGCAAACTGCCTGGGTATGTCGTCTCGGTCCGATGCCTACACATCTGTAGTGTCTTCAAAAATTATTCACATCAAAAACACGTTGTAACAAGTCACCTGCTTACACTTTATTCACCCATTCTTGCACCAAGTTTTAGGCACACCTATAACTATCGGTACGGTCACGTATACTCAACTTCTCCCCGTTCCTATCTATTCTGCACCTCGCTTATCCTGCACAATGAGTAGCTTCGCATCTCCACCGCTGCCCTCACCTATGCTCCCTCGGACCCGCTCACCCGTCTGTCCCAAGCAGGGAGGATCAGCCAACACCCGCCCGGCGATGTGCGAGTGTCAAGGTCCTGTTGGCGGCTGGAGCGGCAGCGGCAAGTCGTCCCCGGCAACAATTCACACCTCTCACACCCACTCGCGCTTATAACAAGCCCTCCCATGCCTCCGCCAGTTGCCCCATTAATCTCTTATCACCCGACCTCGGTTGCACCCGCTTCGCAACTTAATTATTGGCTGTTTTTTGTCTGTGCAAATATGTTGCAACACGCATTTCTGTTTGCCCCATTTGCACTGTTTAACTGTACGCACCACGCATTTCTCCTCTCTTACACATCTGAGAAGCCATGGTAAGCCACCTAAGTAAACAATAAACAGGCTCAGTCCTGCACAGCTTCTGAATAATGATGAGATCCAGGCATACGAAAATTAATTTCATCATAGTAATAATAAAAATGCTAATATGAAACAGTGGGTGGAAAATCCACCAACATTACTACTATGAGCCAAGAATATCTGTGTGTAATGCGCGTGATGTCACTCCACATGCTGCACCCCCCCCCATCATCAATATTCATGAGCGGGTGGATGTTTACACTCGCGCAGGTCGAGCGGAAATACAACATTTTTGCTAATTCGCTTTTAGCTTTACGTTTCTTTAAAGTGAATCTAATAAATAATTCTACGCAGCAACAAAGTGGATTAGGTGTCTATTTATTTCTTCAGCACTTGAGACAAAAGGCAAGTAATTTAAGCTTGTACATAATGGTAAAATACATTTCTCGGTGATTTAACAGATATTGTATCGAATTCCAAATTATTTCAACCCCAGCGACTGAAAGCCGAAGAGACTAAAGTATCAGAGCAGTGAATTTGAAATTGAAAGCAAGTTATATACAGTGCTACAGTGACATGAAGCGAGGTGTTTAATGACGTAGTTTTGGTGCCAGATTCACTGCCATTAATAGTGCCACAGTGAACTGCAGTGAAGTATTTGATGACATACTTAAATGCAAGATTCACTGCCATTAAACTGTACACAAGATACAATTATACTCTGCTCAATTTTTTCATAAATATTAGCTTCCATCCTAGGATGGGCAAACAAGATAGTTACATATAACGTTCTTACCATTAGGCAGCTGAAACGCTTTAACGTAGAACTTGTGGCAGGAGCCAAGACGGGGTTTGGTCACCAACTGGTCTATGGAATGTACCAGGTCGCCTTGAGTCATGCGGCTCACCATCTCCATCACTTTCTGCATTAGTGTAAACATTAAAAGTAAACTATTACATTCTAAAAACAAACCCGATTGCATGGTCTTGCAACGCATATTTCTCAAAGAAAAAGATACAATGTATTAAAGTGCAGTGCAAAGTTAGGCAAAGGACATGAGTGATGATTTACTTAAATTCAGAAGCTATACAAGGTAGCCGAATTGCTCAAGCACACCGATTAAAGAAGGGAGAACGCCAAGGGTATGTATGCAGAGATCCCGTTTAGCCAAGTGCTGTTAGCGAATACCTATTAAAGCTGGCAGAGGCAATTTTAGTCAGCGCCAAGCCAAGCCACCTTCGTCTTCCCCAGTGCAGATTCTTCACACTCCAAAGATACGCTTAATGCCCAGTCGACCGAGGGGAGGCCGAGGACAAGTTGTAATACCACTTTCCACGTTTCGAAATTAACTCTGGCTGCTGGGTTGACAAGTAGTGTGTCAACTACTGCACGAGCACTTTTTTGCCACAACTGTGTATTCACAAATAGAAAGATCCCCCATATAGCACGAACAGACTGTTGGGGCAAGTGCTGTATGCGAGCACCTATGAAGGTCGGCACGGCACACGAGGGGGTGGGTGGCCAGCACCATGCCCGGCCGCCTTTGTCTCCCTAGTTTCAATGTTCAAGCATCACACCAGGTACTCATTTGGGGCCGAGTCGACCTAAGGGATGCCCAGGACCAGTTCAGAAAAGAGTCGCTGGTGTTGACCGCAAGCGGGAATCGAACTCTGGTCACCTGGTTCATAACATAGCGCACTAACCACTATTGCTCCCCAGGTATTTCACAAACGTGTGCACACCCACCCGTTTGACGTTGGTGACCAGTGCAATGCCATTCTCCAGAAGCATGTCTTGAGCAATCCGAGACACTGTCTTTTCCACCAGCATCAGGTGTGGCTTCATGTCCACGATGCGAGCAATGAAATTCTTCAGAAATTCCCGCTCCTTCACAAACAATTAACATTCATAACCAATGAAGACAATATCTTGTATAGTTCAAGAAATAAGAGTAATCCGTCCTTAAAGGCAGACCTATAAGCGAGCTCGCAAAATCATTCATGGGAGTAACAACCGCTAAAAGTAATTTGCACAATTACAAAATATACCACTGCAGGCCATTCACAGCATCTACTACAGATGTTATGTCAGAAAAGCTCCAAGTGATGGCACAAGGAGTGAGCTTTGGCGACACGGGGTTGGCTGATGTATCACTGACAAGAGAATGGACTACATATGCAGAAAATTGGTTTTAGACAAGCCAAGAAAATGCATGTAAAATAGCACTTAGAATTACTATGTACATTGAGAGATGAAATCCTCGACAGTCAGTAATGTCTAATTGGATGGAAGTGCAATGCTGCAATGACCTGCAGGACAATTGGACAAATGGAGGAGAACTTGGTCTCTTCTCTGTACAGGTATTCAATGGAGCAGGTGAGAAGCAGAATCTTGGGATTTCTGATGCAGCTGTTCATCTGGAAAACCACCAAAAAAAGAAGAGCAGGTTCTTTTACAATATTATGATGCGCCAATGTAACATTTTAAAGTGCGACTTTGTGCGCAAAAATTTAAAATTTGATCATACACAGTCCTCCATAAAAGCATACCTTTTTGTGTACCACATTCTTGCTGAAGACATATCCATTCAAGACTACAGAGTCAAATTTCTTCCCACCTGGAATCTATGAAATAAAGTGAGCATGACAAGTTAAAGCATGGTAGACAAATTTGACTTTTGGCTTTGAAAAGTAAACCATGGTTACAAGGTGGGCAAAGTACAGCAAAATTCGTTGAAGTATTGTACTTGTATGCTACCAGTATTCACCAACCCACAGTGACAAGCACTTGGAAGTACCAATCTGTCATGATCCACATGGCACGAGGCCCTCATCCAGCATTGGTGTAGACAGAAACGCTTTTAAATGTACGCTATATTACTCAATTGTCCTATTACAGCTTAGGTGCCATTCCCAAGGAGATATGGAGAACCCGGTATCGCATACAGAATCCAAGGCGCTGCATCACTGCCCACGCACACGTTGCGGGCGCACCTTTTTGATGTGCACGTAGTGGCGGATGTCCATGTCGTCGTCGTCATTCTTGACGTCTGGCCGGACACAGCGCACGGCCTGGTCCACGATAGGCAGCACCCCATCGCACCAAGCCAGCGGGAGGCACTGCATGCACAGCAGTTGCTGCAGCACGGCCGTGGCGTGGGTGTGGCTCGCTGACCTGTGGTGGTGGGCAACCGGAAGCAACGCAACTCACGATGTTATTTTTTTCTGCTTTCTAAGGCTGAAAATGTATGCATTAGCTCTGTCCGTCACAAATGGGAGGGGGCACATTAACTCCTATAAACATGATATAATTAGGAATGAAAATGTGATATTAAGTCATCACTATAAGGGGCTTACCAGAAAGAAAAATTGGCCAAATTCAGCCTCCCAAAAATGTGGAGAAACAAGAGCAAAGGGACTGCATGCAAATGTGTAGTGACTGAATCGGAGACACTAAGAGTTGGAGGCACCGTTTATTAACACGCACCCAGCGGGACAGTTGGTAAAACTGCCTGACAGGCGACACCGAGATGGCGAAGACGGAGACGACAGTGAAGACTCCAGCAGCATGACGGGGATCTCACTTCAAACGACAGCCCCGAGGTCTCTTCTCGGGGTCCCTCTTATACTGTCAGTGTGGCCTGGCTCCGCCCCTGGCCATGCCCCCTTTCTAGAACCTACCCGCGGGTTCCTGGTGTGTCCCCTCCGTAACCTTTCCCCTAGATCCCCCTCTGGTTTATCACTTAGCCTGCGGTTGTCAGGGCTGCTGTAAGCTGCAGATCCTTCCCCACCAGCGCTATGCTACTGCAGAGCTAATTCTATGTCACTACATATGCAAACGCATTTTGCACAGAACCTGTCTTCGAACTGCTAATTAAACACTTGACGACAAAACCCATGTTCGAAAGTCTTACTTCATCCACGAGTATACATTAATTCCACCCCCCCCCCCCCCCCCGACTTGTTTGAAAACTAAAAATGTCACAAGGGGGCTTCCCTCCCCAAATAGTGTGCAACACTTACAGTAACATTTCCATGGCCGGTCTCTCGCCGTTCTCCTCGCGAAGGTTCTCCAGGGCGCTGTGGTGCCAGCCCAGCGGGGTGAGCAGCAGGTCCTTGTTTGGCTTCTCAACACCACGGGTGTACAATGACTCTGCCAGAAAGGCAACATTAATTAAACAAGTTTTTTTTCTTCATGTTATTCCATTATAAATGTATAGGACTACATGAACTCCCCCCACTCCCCCCACCTTGGTCTTCACACTTGATAGGCTCAGTGATGACATCACCTAGCAGGTTAACGACACTTACATGCGATCCAACCCAAAAAACACTCCTTTATTATGGATATTGGTCGTGAAAGTTTATTGATGTTTAATGTAAGCTAATTGTAAGATTACAAGTTGCTCTTAATTTAATAAATTCCATTATTTTCAGTTAAGCAATTATGTACACAAAACCAAAAGGCAATTAATTATATTTTCTGAAATTATCGTAAGAATTTAGTGGAACCTAGCATACCTCTTATAAAGTCGTCACTTATATGGATGCTTTGTTGTTCATCCTGGGACTGCTGTCCAGCCAGAACATGAGCTGCGTAAACATGCATGAACACAAAAAAACATGGGCACTCGCACATTAGATGCAAAAAAACGCATTTTAAATATTCAAAATGTAATTCTAAATTTACATAAATACTTTATGGACAGCCGTACAAGTCCATAACGATTGTGTGTGTGTTTACACAACAGTCAAGGATAACGAAGGAGTTAGAATGGCACTGTTAAATTCTGAACAGATTCCAAATGGCATCCATCAATGTGCACGTTTCCTCACTGCGGGTACACCAAGGTCATGCAAGCTGTGCAAGACAGCCATGCGCACACGGCAAAAGCAGACCTCTCTGCTCGGTGTAGTGCGGAGGCACATGTGGCTGGCTCGAATGCCTCTTGACGTGGAAGTTGACATTGTCCAGATCGCTGCTGAGGCTGACGGAGGCGGCTGAATCTGTGCTTGCCACAGAATGGAAGCTGCTCACTGACGCCCGCTTCTCTGGGCTGCTTCGTCCTAAAGCACCCGGAGGGGGACAAGCGTCATTCAAAAACGCACGCCCTCCACTGAAGAAGAGCAACCTGTACAAAGCAAATCACTTTTGAAAAGCACTAATGAAACCCGATGGAATTCAAAGTTACTTTTCCCTCACACATGTAAATTTGCACAAGTTTTCCAGAGTACACCAGTCTTCGGTTGCGTGCGCATATCACACCACTGCGTAAACAGCTTCCAAGTTAGCGCTATTCACTGCATTCCAAGAGATGAAAGCATTTAGCATGGTGCTAACATTGTGGTGCCTCAGCTGAAGTGTCCACTCCAAAGTAGAATGGCCTGCTAATATTTGTTTGCAAAAAGCAAGTAAATGAAAATGGGCTCGCTCCTAGGCAAATGCCAATCTGAGGCAGTCTGCACAGCCTAAAATTTGCTTTTGCCCACAAAGCATGATGGCAAACAGGTGGTAGCGTGAATGCAAGTGCTATCCCTCAGTAAAAATGGGGTTACATAATAAATATAATCCCTCGGTGTTCGACAAAGGAATTAGCACAGAAGTGTTTGCCGTCAGTCTTAAAATATGCAAAAACCTTGTTAAAAAACGTCTATGTAGGAGGCAGTAGATGTACAAGCCAATACCTTTTAGAAGGCTGTTCATACGCTCATTCCCTGGCGAGCCCTCCGAGTCGCTGTCTTCGTACTTAATGTCCTTGAACCACGTGGGCTCCGATGGGCCCTCCACAGAGTCCAGTGAAGCTGTGTCAGGGGAAGCTGGCTCTGACGACACCATTTTCTAATATGGTTCACGAGCAAGTGCAAACGAGAACAGCATGGACGATTAATGGACTTTTCAATAAGTACCGCAAAATGCTGCTGTGGTGTCAAGGTTAGCCACACTGGGCATGCAATTAGGTTTCCAGTTTAATCTCCCAGTCTCACAGTTGAGATAGTTTCCAAAATTCTACCTCCGTCCACTCCGCAGCATAACTGGGTGCACACCAATTCATTGATCTGCAAAAGTTACATGCGGTGGGATAAAGTGTGGGTACTCCTCCCCCCCTTCCAAACACCCTCTAGAAACTCTAGAGCTCCATCTAGTGGAAGCCCGTCTGCCAGCAGTGGCATAAACAAGAAATAACAGGAATGCACCTTTTACTTTTAGTGCACAATCCTGCAATTTGTTTGGGCAAGTTAAAATTAAGGGCTGTTGAACAGGTGTTATAATTTCTTCATACATTTGCCACGTGTTATTTTCAATTGGGAATATTACAAACTACACCTAAAATGTAATTTACCTTCAGAGGTCGGTACAGTGCATATTCGTCTCGGAATATTTGATCGAGGTGGGTGACACAATCCAGCCAGTGACCATCAACCAATGCTTGCCCTATCCCAAGACCCTGCTCCCTGGAGACGCACCATTCACAATAGACAGTAAACAGTTAGTGAAATACTAAAATCTGTTGAAAAATAACTGGTGTATGGGAATGGCATGAATTCCTGTGGTAGTAGATTCATTGATTACACATACCATATTTGGCAGGTGTGATTTAATAAAATTGAAATCCACAATCTAGGCATTGTACTTTCCTGCACACCTTGCTACAAAAAAATGTTCATCCTATGATTAACTAACATTTTCCATTCGAGGAAAACAACATGAAGAGCTGTAGCTTATACAAATTAAGTCAAAACACATTTTAAGCAAAGGGTTTTTTTTGCACAGACATTGGTAAGGGTAACACCATCACTAGACTATTTAAATTATGAGTGGCTGCCCAGATTAAAAATATAAAAATAGGATCTCAGCGATTCCAGCCCAGTGTTTTGAACCCAGTTGCAAACTCAGCCATACTACAATTAATTAAAAAAAATATTGAAATTACTAACTTTGCTATTTAAAAAATGCATGCTTAAAAAGCTATTTCTTCAATTCCCAACAAATGACCAATGGTGGTTGTGACTGGGCAGCCAGTCACCTGGTGGACACGTGCCCGTTTAAAGTGAGCCAGTCTATGAGCTCCTTGCCCACGATGGTGTTGGGGTGGTTGCGCAGGCGGTAACGGTGGTCGCGGAACTCCATGCCAGTGTTCGAATGGCAGACCCTCCGCCACAGCTCCTTGAGCTGCACCGAGTCCTGGCATAAACAGAGGTATCCTGAACATGCGCATTTCGAATTGCAACCTAATAACGCTGGTAGCAATGCTTCCAATGTAGCATTCAATTCTGGCTTGCCAGAAAATAGTCAGCAGGTAGGCAGTCACAGCTAGGTAGTCTGTTAAACACACAACAGGCAAATACCTAAGGCACTGGGGTGATTCAGCCAGATGTACTTTCAACATGGCACACTAATGTATAAATTTTAACAAGCAATAACAAAAAATAACTCCAAGATCACAGACATGTCTGCTTTTGCAACACCTGTGAAATAAATGCAGCTATTCACAGTGTCAACCGATACGGTTTACCCGTATTCTTATGCAGGGAAACTGAGTTCAGGTCCATACGGCGTACAGCTGTTTCAATGCGGGCAATTTTTTTGGTCTGTTTCTCCCTTGTGGTGGGACTTTATAGGAAGAATGTTGAGATTCACAAGGGGCACGGGGTGACCAATAAGGTCTGAATTGGTCTGTAATAAAGTAGGCACTAATAAGGGTTTGACAGGTATGTATCACAACCGTTTAGGACATTCTCCCACTACTCTTGAAAGGTTGATTTAGTTTGTGGGAGAACTTAAAAAAGCAATAAAATAAGATTAAGTTTTACCTTGACAATGAAACAGGTGTTAAGATGTTCAAACACCAAATGGATACATTTTTAATATGGCATCAAGTGTACATTAACCACATACTTGTGGAAAAACATGGTTTGAACATCTTATCACCTGTTTTATTGCCAGACAGGGTAAAACCCACCCTTATTCTCTCATCATTTTGATACTGGCAAAACGGTCCCGTAGCTAAAAAGCAAGTTTACCAATAATAACTTTCGCTCTTCATCTGTCATATCCAACTTGTAACTCCGGCCAACTTGTGGACTTGCAGCACTGAAACCGAGCAGAAAGAGCGCCAAGCAAGAAATAAAAATGAACACTGCGCTTCACATTATCCAGATAGTTTACCGATGAGACGGCAAGCTTTTTAATCGAAATCCAAGTTTGAAAACGAATTACATTTAAATATTGGCATTAAGGTAAAGAACAAAGGATGCATTTGGCCACCTCTTATGAGATGGCGAGAGAGTGATTTCCTCTGGCACAGAGCTCAGGCGGGAGAGAGTTGCTCGAGCGCTGCTCTGCGGCTCCTGCACCATTCGGCTACAAAAACACCACCCACCACGAGGTTCACAAGTCAAGTCCTCTCATGGCTGAAAACACAAGAATTCATCAACCAAAACTTAATGTCGCAGTTGCAATTGTAACAGTTTCAAGAGCGTTGTACATCAAAGGTCAGCTCAGATTGCTATGATGGGTCACGAGCGGGGGAAAAAAACACGTCAGGTCATGAACATGGAAGCACCAGGGCAGATACTGAGGTAGGCCAAGACAGACGGTGGTGTGAAGTGGTGAACCAGGATGGTGTGGATGTAGACAACCGATAAGAATGTGGAAAAAGGGGACCAGAAAGAGACCCCCACAAATAAGCATGGGGGGGGCGGGGGGAAATTCCAGAAAAAACGACATTCACAACTGGATTCATAACCCAAAATAGCAAGACACAAACCGACACACCCTACATGAAGGCGACCGAGACAAACCGCACCTGCCCCAAGTGACTTGTTCCTCCAAGAAACCAACGCGGCTGGGTTTGCGCGACCCAATCGGTGTGCGAGGCTCGCTGTGGCTTTGTTCTAGGGCAGCCGTGATACTCCCACCAGCAGCCCCAGTACCATTCCCACCGCACGCCTGGTCGGCCAGCAGGGAAAGGTCCTCTCCCAGGGAGCCTCCATCTGCCGAGGCCGTGTAGCTCATAGCCACCTTATTACAGTAGTTGCACACCCGTAGATCTCCTGCGACAGAAAACAAATAATGCTTCATGTACCAAATGTATACAGTGGTACCTCAGTATACGTCGTTAAGTCGTTCCAGAAGGTAGGACGAATACCAAGCGAATTTTTCCCCATAAGAAATAAAGGGAAAGGAAATAATCCGTTCCAGAGTATAAGAAGTTACATTTTATATGGCATGTTATACATTATTGTGGTTGTATACAATAATTTACACACTACTTATTACTACAATGCATTCATAAATTTAAATAAATGCATAAAAAATAAATTGAAATAAAAATAAAATTTAACATCACTTTATCTTGCTGATAGCCTACGAGGATGGTGGTGAGGAAGGGGAGGAGTCGTAAACGGGGTCTACGCAGTGACTCATCTCGCGACCCATACAAGTTCTAGCAAGCGCGTCGTATCCCAAGACATTTTTCTTCTCGTCAAAACACGACGTATACCAAATTCGACGTATTCCAAAGCGGTTGTATACCGAGGTATGACTGTATGATAAAAAAAAACAATTTTGACAATGATCGTATTACCCAACATGTGGTCGATCTCAGAAGATAAATACGGTTCGGCCTATTGCTTGGATGGGTGACCATGATGCACGCCGGGTTATTGGAGTCATACATGGTGGGCAGCAGAGATCGGTACAGGAAACCCAATACAGGTTAGTCCCCGGTCCCTGCTTTCAAACACAATGTGTTCCTGGAAAAAGTCGTAAATCGGACTCCTATTTTTCATACAGAAACAGTAGAAATTTCCCTTGCCGATTTGTTTCCTTTTAGCAGCCATATTTTCAGGTTTTCATAGGTGAAAACCCACAAAAACACGAGGATGACATAAGCTCCACGCAAAGTCGAGTCAGAAACCAGGCCCGACTGTTCAAACACGTGCTCCAAGTCATGTCGGAATATGCGTCGCAAATTAAGTTTGTGCATCATAAAATCGATCCATGGTAGCATTATATAAATGTTGTAAAATGTCCATCACCGTAAATCTGACCGTTGTAAACTGGAGACCGCCTGCTATTATACTGTACTTTCTCTTACATATGCTCCCCACTTTCACACTCAGATTTGTCAAATCCCCCAATGATCTGCACACCATGGGGAGGCCCTCATCCAAGTGGAGCAACAAAATAGCCTCAGGTATTGCGTATCACAGCCTGCACAGGCAACATGTGCAAATCATTAAAACCAGAGTGATCAGCTGCATTACATACACTTTAGACACATACCTGTGTAGCCCATAAACTTTCCAGAGATCTCCTGGTTGCAGCAACGGCTGCAGAAGATTTGGCCACAAAGCCTGCAGTGGTGGCGGCGGCGGAAGGTGGTGAACTTTTCCCCACAGTCGTAGCACTCCTTGCACTGACTGTCCGGCATCCAATACTGTTTGAGGTCTGTGTCCTGGGATGCAAGTGATAACATGATTATTTACCACTTTCTATTTCCATAACTGATATACATAAATCAGTGGACACCTCAAAAATGTTGTTTTGTTTGGGCAAATGGCAATAATACATGTTTTGTAATTTTAACTCGCCTGACTTTTGCCATCCATGATTTCCTTCAACCTCTTCACCACTGTACCCAGACTTCTGAGCTGCACTGCTGAGCGTGGGTCTATTGGTCCTTCTTCCTTCCTTTGTGATGCATCTGTAAAATCCAGTCTTTGTAAAAATCGGGAAAACATACCATTTTATATATGTCTAAGAATTCATGGCTAACACCGAGTAATCCACCAGACATGTGACCCTCTTCCTCCAATTTAGGAATTACACCTTGTATGTTGTTCCTTTTGTGAAAGTGTGTTTGCTAATGGTGACTATGAGAAGCAATGCAAGTCAATTCCTGTAGTGTTACTGCAAAAGCACTGCCTTGTTTTATTTTGAGGATAAATATTGTCTCTACCATAATTTACTCTGCTGCCCCCATAGCATGGAATTCACTTCCTCCAGCCATCGATGCCGTCGACTCCCTGCCCACGTCTAGGCTTAAGACCTTTCTATGGTCCGACTTTCTTCATATAAATAGGTCCCCGTTTTCCCCAGAATGCCCATATCCCAATATTTAGTGCAATGTCTTAAGATGTAGTTGCATTTAGGTACTGTATAAATCCCAACTGTATTGCATTTTAAAACCATTCGCTATAACAAATACACCACCTTTGCGTAGAGGTGATCTTCCCTCAACGAGTTTTGTATCCCCAGAAGTGTTGTTTTAAAGAAAACAAACATTAATAAGTATAATATTAGTTAAGTGTGTTTAAGATGACCCTATCCTTTTTCACTGTCAACGTTGGAGGCTTCACTTGGGCCAGAGTCCATGTGTATCGTCTCCCACGTACCCTGGCCGGATGAGCGCACAGTGCGGCTTCTGTGCTCACGGGCGCCCTGTCTCGTGTCCGAGCTGGATTCCTGGCGAGGGTCATGCCACGAATCCGTCTGAGACTCCCTTCGGGGAGTGAAATGGGAATCCATGCTCCCTTCAACTCGTACCTGCTGCTCACCCTTGTGCACGACTGGATCACTCCCTGAAACAGAATTAAGGCACAATTATCATGCTTCATACATCTCCAATGGACTAACATGCTCCTTTATAGCCATATAGTCACCTTGTATTATACGTTTTGAAACATTGGTTGCATTGCAACCAATGTTGAAAGTGTCAATGCATTAGCTGTTTGTACATTCCTTCATAATGGGGAGTACTGTAATTTTAATAAAGAGGATTCATATGAACAAAAAACTTTTGTATAATGGTGTTACTGTAAGGACTTAACCAATTGAAAACCGGCCAAGTTGATTAAAACGTTTTCCCAAAATTTTAAGATAAAACAAGATCAAAGAGCAATGTTTTGAAATATGCAGAGGTACCTGTCTGCTAACAAACTGCTAATACTCCCAACAAAAATGCTATACGACATTAAATTAGCCATGGGTATTGCATGCATGATTTTTCACTACTTAATGTATTCATGAACTTAATTCAAAGACAAACTTTGGTTCAAAAATAGTAACTGAAACAAAACGCTAGGAGTAAAAAACAGCAGGACAACCAAAAGCAAGTTTTTTTTATGGGACAGTGTGCACCTTTGAAGCGAAAGAGGTTGATGATGGAGCTATAGGCAGAGCGGAGAGGTGGAAGGTCCTCCTCATGCGGGGACAGCGGTTTGAAGCTGGTGAGATGTGGCACGGCGCTTCTCATAGGTTCAGGATCCAGCACTTCGTAACGGTTGGGGCTCCCCTCCGACGCCATACCACGCCTCCGCAAAGCAAGGAGGGAAGAGATTAGCAAAAATATTGAGTAAGCAATCACTGGGCAAAGCAAGACGCAACGGCAACAAGTTTCATGGCATTCATCTTCCACTGCACATCCATTGGATGTTTACATGGAGTAGGTGTGCACACATCATTTTTGAAAATGGCAACTTGTACTGCAATGGCACTTTTGCCAGTTTCGACCCTTACCTCATAGGATATGTCATAATACAATACAAATAGAGTTTATTTCACACTTGTAATCATCTTAAAGTGATTTTGGTTACACGTTTTATTTGTAAACGCACACGTGTTTAACGCAGCTATGGAGTGTGTATGCTCTCGCATAGCTTTTGTCTTAATCCCACCAACAATTACGGTAGCGCACAATAGAGTAAATTGATTGTTCAATTTCCCAAAACCAAACTTAACAAGTGCATTTTCACCCATGCAAGTACAAGGTGAAGGCAATGATTGATAGTGCCCGGTGCAACTTCAATCAATGCACGAGTCAGTTTGACTGTGGTGACTGGGAGCTGTGAAGGACGACTGGCTCCAGAGGAGGTAGATAATGCCTTTTAAATTATAGTTCAAGGATCTCTGCTTTGATATTTTACCGAAAAGTTCAAAGTTATGTTGTTAATCTATAGCCAGCTACGCTCATGAGCAATGCAATTTTGGATTACTTTCCCAGATAATGTATACATGTAAAAAATACTTACATTTGTTTTATACTGCCCAAAAATAAAGTATATATTCAGAAGTTGAACATTTTGGCCTATTCCAGTACTTTAGACCATAAATGCTATAGAAACAGAAAGATTGCGAAAAATTGGGAAGAAAGCATTACTTATAGTTTCAGTCATGTTAATATTTGCAGAATGCCTATTACTTTCAATGTAATGTAGTCCCTTATTTGTCGGTTTCGATGTTGGAGACTTCCTCAAATGCGCCGACACCTTGCTTTGCCTTGTTGTTGACGGTTTTATTTTTCAGTTTATTTATTTTGGTATAGCCCTGTGAACCATTCGGCTCTTGAATCGGGTGCAACCACAAACAAAAAACCAAAAACATTAACAAGAAGAACATCTTAAAGTGACTGTGCAAATAGAAAATCCATGAAAAAAAACAGCAAAATATTCATGAAAAAAGCACCGTACATCAACGCTGTGTGCAAAAAATCCCAGTGGTATGCAAGTCAAACAACAACAAGAAAACTTAGATTAAGGCCATCAGTCTAACTCCGTACTACAACAAAACAAACATGTCCAAACCAAAAAACTTTTCGAAATCAACAAAAAATAAAGCCATAATTGGAACGTAACAGTGATCACAGGGACTGTGACCGATTTTTTACAATAAACTACATAAATAACATGTAACACAAAATCCTAGAGCCATAGCTGGCTGCATGAGTTACTCCAACAACAGAAGCATCAGTCGGAGTATCAAATTTTTCAATGCACCTTTAAGAATCTGCACCTTTAAGAATCAGCGTACGCTGTACGCCTTTTAGCGTCCTCTGGTCGAGCACCAATTGGGTCGAGGCTCAAAAGAAAGCCGTCCCTTGGTGTGGACCAATCAGTTTCAAGGACAATGCATATATTATCATAGTATGTTGTTTGTTTTGCATTTTGACTGCAGGTATTGTGGTTAATGCAGACATGAATCCTTGTAAAAAGATTTCAGTTTTGTTGCCAGAAAAGGGGAAAAACCCTATTATTACATTTTGGTACTGCCAAAGGAGGTCTAATGATGAAATAAAATCGTTTACGTAGTCGCTCATTCATAATTCATAACATAAATCATGGGTCACTGCCCGCGGTCTGCAAGTTTCCCAACCCTGTTTCTATATGGTGAAACTGGACTCAAATTTATGAACGTGGAATTTCCACCACTGCTACCAGCAAAACACGAGCAATGCATCGCGCTCATTTGAACTGCACTTATTCCACTCACCAGCCATGGACTTTAATCTGACAACGCGATGCAAAAATCAATGATTTCCCATCGGTCCTACATACTTAGGCTGTGTAACCAGGATGTCCGGCATGTGATCGAAGCGTCCTTGAGGTAAAAGGGGACTGAATGCAAAGGCCTAACGCGCCACCATACCGTTAAGGACACCACTCGAATGACAATTTAAAATGCAAACCACATCCACTAGATTTTTAGATTTTTCAAATTTTCTTGCTGTGGTTTTCACACCTGATGATGATTGCTTGTGTTGCAGTCGAAACGTCGTGAGAATTTTATTGCTTGAAATTTTTATTATTTTATTGTTTCCCTTCCACGCGACTTTACCGAAATAACCAAGAATACACATCCACTAGATTGCTGTAATTACGGAATTTGGAAGAGACCGTAACTTCTAAGCATTCTTTTCCCCCATAAACCAAGATCCAACCCCGTGTGGAAACAGGCCTCGCCTCAAACCGAAAAAGTATTTACCCCAATTGCTGCACCTACCCGTCACACCTAACAGTTTAACGAAATCACATACGCGCATAGTCGCGCGCACATGTAATTGAACGAGCTTCGAGACGACGCAGCGTATCCCAGACATCACCCGCGGAGCCGGCGGCGCCCCTCGCGAGCAGCCCGACCTAGGTAAAGCCTAAGGCCCCGCAGAGGACTAGGCCTCAAACCGGGTTGAGTGGGGAGGGGAGGGAAGCGAAGGGAAATTCCGCTCTCTGCGCCAGGCGATCACAATGTCGGGGCTGTGCCTTTACCTTGCAACAGCCACCGATACGCCGCGGTTGTTGTTGTCGTCGTCGTGCGGCGTGGTCTGAGCGCGGCTGAATCTCTCGCGGTGCGCGATCTCAGGCACCCGGTCTCGCTGCGATGTTGAATCTTCGGCGCGGTCACGTGACGCGGGTCATGTGAGCGCGAGAGCACGCGCGGATCACGTGACGCGCGGCGTAGTGTGGGGGGGAGGGGGTGATTCGGCGCACGTGGTGGATGATTTAATTGAATCCGTTAATGGGAATGCTGAGCAGGTTGTGTTTGGCCTGCCGAGGTAATGTGATTGGATAATGCTTTAGACGAGCACAGGCATATTTGGCATAAACGTCTGCGTGGCTGTTGCTATACTTGGTTGGGCAGCAAGAGGGTAGTATAGCCAAAGCAGTCCTGTGCTAGAAACGTCAATCTGCTTAGCGCAACAGTCTCACATGATCTGCACTGTGCTGCTAATGTGGCTGACGATGTATCATATAAGCTTGGCTTTATTTTCTGTATAAAGCCTTCTTTGACGCCAAACAATTATTACTGTTAAAACAAGGCACACATTCGGCCGAAGTTGGAATACTGTTATCGTATCTGGGTAAGTGCACCCAGTTTATATCTCAATCACTGGCCTTGATCGTAATTCCAGAGTAAAATAGGCTGAATGATGATCCAGCACTCACCGATTCACTCAAGTGACCGGCGTACAGTCGCCTCGTTACCACTCTTCTATCGCTACCACCATGGTGATTATTGTTGACATGAATTTCACTCATGGATTCATCCACCCATGTTGAAGACTCTGGTCAACGAAATAGTTTTTAATCCCAACCATTTTCAACCAGCACACTTGCAGGTCACAATACTAACCACTTTCTGCCTCTTAGCTCACACTGCTCTACTTTGGAATTCCCCACCCCCATCGTCTCTTTAAAAAAATTCGTCTAATAACCGTGTTCAATTGAAGATACGCATATTACACTTTAAATAGTGCTGTTTGTTGCTGGCTCCTTGGCGTTTGGGGGCATTTGCGCCTGTGCTCAGCAACCACGATTTTCAAAATTGTGTTACGTGGCTCCTGCGTCTATAATCCCCACCTTCAACCGTAGTATCATGAACCATGCTTGACTTTGTAAGTAAAGCACTACGGATCCCCTTCCGTAGAAGACAATAATACCTTTATTTAAAATTATACTGCGTGGGCAGTAGCGCAAAAAGCATAAATAACACATTTGTTACTAACACTGCCTCAAAGAGGAGATGTGGACGGTAATAAAAGTATTCGGTGATGGCACCGGTGCACAAGGACAATGACCAAAACAACTCAACACAGTCATCAATGACACTGTAGCCTTAAAAGGAAGTGTATGTCAGGCGACGTTTCGGGCAATGGACCTTCTTTATACTATATACTGTAGAGTGGATAATCCACGATATATCTCTCTGACCTGTGCTCTAAAAGTTCCAATTGCTCAGCAATTACGTATTTCTTTTAAACGCAGCACAGTACATGAGGTACGTGGTTAGTGGGCACATGCTCCACATCAATTGCACATTGAATGGACGTACTGAGCGCTATGAAAATTCGCATTACAAATACTTAGTTGCAGGGATTCACATGTTTTTTTATTTAGGGATGACATCATCATGCCTGACTTGCTGTGGCAGCTAAATTGGGCGATGAGTTGCTGGTGCAAATATATCACAATTCACCACACCCTTTCCAATATACTTCGCTGCACGACACGTTTTGCTATGCGGAGGCAATACTTATTTTAACATTTGATTACATGTTTCCCACAGCTCTTGGTTTGACAAAAAAAAACGCATGATACAGAAAATAGGGTGGGGGTGGCATACTTCTCAAAGCACAATGGTCAGGATTAGGGCATGTTGATTGGCTTGGTTCACATATATATCTGAGTAGGCTTCATTATTTGTTTCTGTGAATAAGTTAAATAGTGCATTTCAATGTACTACGCTTGTCTGCTGTACAGGTGTTGGCCAGCCCTTTCGTCAATTCACTGCTGGATGAGGGGCCTATCTCTTCGCCTTGCAGTGCGGCTCTTCGTCGTTATTTAACCACACGTAATTACTTCATCACGCTGGTGAAGCTGGTAAAGGTTGGGGAAATTTCAGTTTAATTTATTTGGTATATCCCTGTGAGCCATTCGGCTCTTGAATCGGGTGCAATCGCAACAAACAAAAAACAAAAACATGAACAAGAAACACATCTTAAAGTGACTATGCGCAAACAGAACAATCCAGAAAAAAACAGCAAAATCTTCCAGAAAAAAGCACCGTACACCAACGCTGTGTGCAAAAATCCCAGTGGGATGCAAGTCAAACAACAGCAACAACAACCATAAGACAACTTAGATTAAAGCCATCAGTTTAACTCCGTACGACAACAAACAAACATGGCCAAACTAAAAAACTTTTCGAAATCAAAATAAAGCCATAAGAGCAATGTGACAGTGATCATAGGAACTGTGACCGAAATTTCACAATAAACGACATAAACAACATGTACCACCAAACCCTATAGCCATAGCTGGCTGCATGAGTCACTCCACAACGCCAGGAGCATCAGTTGGAGGATAAAAACATTTCAATGCACCTTTAAAGATCAGCAGACTATAATCAAAACACGAGATCATACTTTGCAGCGGTCATCCAGAGCGAAATATTTTATTTTAGGTCACTGAATAGCAGTGGCCTAAAAAAATCGTTAATCGTACAGTGGAACAATGGATTGTGCATCACTGCCACCCCGCTGAGCGTAGGCAATTATTTGTACTGTAAAATAGTAAATTAAGTATTGAGCTCAAAATGACTGGGCTTGTCCGCTTGTAAGAGGATACTTTCCGTAAAAAAATACTGTACACTGTAGAGTTATGTTAAATGTTCTCATATCCTATACAGGCCCTGCTTAAAACACCACTGTGTTGATGTCATTTGTTTTGTATGCGGGTGTCTCATTACTTTTCACATTGTATAACATATTATTAAAAAAAACCCCATACATGTCTCACACCCAAGAGGCACATATCGGCATAGTGTGGTTGATATTAGTCCTAGTGCAATGAATGAAATGGGCACTCCCTCTTGTATGTACAGTATGTTGAACTTCTTTCGCATCGTACGTAACCAACCGTGCTAATCGGAGGTGCAATTTCAGCCCTACTCGAAGCCAGGTACCCGGGCCCCTCCAGCCAGTGGATGTGGCGCGTGTGCAATCAAACCTATGCACACTTGATAGCTACGCCACACACATACAACATAGGACATATGCGTGCTTTACATTGTGGGCAGCAGAGGGCAGTGGTTCAAAATCAATCGTACGGCACCTAAACGCTGCCCACTTTCACCAAACCGTACTGACCAGCGTGGCGCACTCTGGTCAATAATTTTCAAGACCTGCAAGACGTGGGGAGGCCCTATCTCGCAGTGCATTGCGTTAATGTGAACACACATGTCCATGCTGGGAGAGGCGCACGTACATGAAAAACCTGTGTTGGAGACACATGTTGTGGAGCGATGACATCAGCTTCTGTTCAGGTGCTCGGCGTATATTTAATTGCATCCCTGGATCGTGAGAGAATGTTGTGACTTGAGGAGGCCTTCATCCAGAGGTGGATTATCTACGGCTGATGATGATGATGACGGTGTAGGTTTAATATCGGGTAGAAATTATAAATTCAATTCACAATTACTTGAAAAAATATATCATATATGAAAAATGTTGCGATAATCTCTTACACATTAGTCATTGGTGAAATAAATGTATTTTTGTAGGATGGTACAGAGGGGAAAAGAGAGCCATGAAGTTCGCTATCCCAAGAATTTGCCGGGAACCCACTGACTACTCAAGCAACTGCTACTTCTGCATGGTGGACCCTTCCAAACATCGGACCGGTAAGAATTCACCTTCTATCACGTATCCAGACCTTCCGTCATCCATCGCCCCGGTGCCACACTGCCATGAGCTACCCGTACTCACTCCTCCAGAGAGAGAACAACCCTCTTTAGAAGAGAGCAGCAAGTCAGAGAGCGAGGAAGACGTCGTAGATCCAGATGACAATTTCAGAGGTGGAGCTGAGCAGAGAAACCCATACTACCCCAACCAAAAAGACCTCAACGACTTGATCAGAGATCTTGGTCTCACCAAGTTCAATGCCGAGCTTTTGACATCTAGGCTCAAGCAGTGGAACTTGTTGGATGAAAGGGTCCAAGTCGCAGATTAGAGGAAGCTTCACCAACATCTTTGCAGCTTCTTCACCCGTCAAGATGGGCTCTGCTTCTGCCGCAATGTGACCAGTCTGTTCGAGGCAATCGGAATCGCCTGTAACCAGAATGAGTGGCGCCTCTTCACTGACAGCTTATTCAGGAGCCTCAAAGCCGTACTGCTCCATAATGGTAACAAGTACCCGTATCTTCCCCTGGCTCACTCAGTGCACCTCAAAGATAATTACAACAGCATCAAGACCTTTCCGGACGCCTTGAAGTATGATGAGAACGCCTGGGAAGTCATCGGAGACTTCAAAATGGTGGCATTCCTGATGGGTCTCCAAGGCGGTTTTACCAAGTTGCCCTGCTATCTTTGCCTTTGGGACGACAGGGACACCAAGGCGCACTACCACAGGCGGGACTGGCCACAGCAGACCGAGTTCTCTGTGGGGAGGAACAACGTCAAGTGGGAGCCACTGGTGGACCCCCGGAAGGTGCTGATGCCACCACTGCACTTAAAATTAGGCCTTATGAAACAATTTGTCAGAGCTGTAGATAAGGAGTAGGCAGCCTTCAAGTACCTTCAAGACGTATTCCCTAAGCTGTCTGAGGCAAAGGTCAAGGCCGGTGTCTTCGTCGGACCACAAATAAAGAAGATCCTGCAGTGCAATGAATTCCCCAAGAAGCTCACTAGTAAGGAGAAAGCGGCTTGGGACAGCTTTGTCGCAGTGGTTCGTGACTTCCTGGGCAATCACAACGTCGAAAATTATGTGGAGCTGGTTGAGACTCTGGTGAAGAACTATGGCACAATGATGGGCTGTTGGATGTCCCTCAAAGTCCATATCCTTGATGCTCATCTTGATAAATTAAAGGAGAACATGGGAGCATACTCGGAGGAGCAAGGCGAGCGATTCCACCAGGATATACAGGACTATGAACGCCGCTATCAAGGACAGTATAACAAGAACATGATGGGAGACTACATTTGGGGCCGATTTGTGAAAGTGATTTACAGTATAATCGTAAATCTCGAAAAACTACTCACTTCTAAATCTTTTGTAGTCATTTTTGTCTTGCTTTAGTATAAATACATGTTACTTTTGATTCATGTTTTTTTCTGACTTTATGTGAACGAAAAGACACAAATTCTCCCGTTTTATCATTGAAAATAGGTACATTTATAAATATCACTGTCCTGGTTACAAAAGCAAAATTTGCGGGGAATAGCCATTTTCTATACTTTCTAGGCATAAGCAATTACGAAATAAGACTTACTTCCCTGGAACAAAAATTGTGTTACATAGTGTTATCAACAATGCGATATGAACCTGGCGACTTGAGTTCGATTCCAGCCAAGGCTAACATCAGTGGCTTGACAAAGGGCCGTGAATTATCAATACAGTGCAGTATAATTGTACTCATAAGGCAGCACTAATTATTCTGGTCAGCAGAGGAACTTCCACATGCCCATGGCGAGTACTATTGTATATTTGAGAAACATTATTGGCTCCCCAAAACGTGGTACACATTTAATCGACCTCGGAGGGATAATACTATGCAGAGTTCAACCCGACTGTTAAGGAAGTCACATTACGTCAATGTATTTTGCATTTTGAACACCGCCCTTGACTTAAAGGCAGTAAAATATATATAGCGCAGGGTGTCACAATTCATATTTGCTACGTCAATCTGACATCACCAACGTCGAATAGCAGAGCTCAGCATGGTTTTGAAAATGACCTTTGAACATTGACAATGTGCTTTCAATAGGTCATATTTTTTTGTTACTGAAGTTCGTTCATCGCATGCGGCTGACGCGCGGCGTGTTTGATTCGGGCGTCCCTGAGGCTTCGAATTGGAGTTTTGATTTCTTCAGTCGCGGGTGTGGCTGGCACCTATTTTGTGAAGAGGATTTAAGCAAACTGGATTTCGACACATGTCTTGAAATGTCCCACCTCCTGTGTGCACCCAGCGTCTGTACTGTACGTGTAGTGACATCGGAGATGTCACTGTATGGTGCCGGCCCGGAAGGGCCGTGCCGCTCGATGTTCCTACATCGTGGACAGCACCGTGAGGGTGGCTGTGTGTAACACCAGCCCTAGCGTGGACAGCACCGTGAGGGTGGCTGTGTGTAGTACCAGCCCTAGCGTGGACAGCACCGTGAGGGTGGCTGTGTGTAACACCAGCCCTAGCGTGGACAGCACCGTGAGGGTGGCTGTGTGTAACACCAGCCCTAGCGTGGACAGCACCGTGTGGGTGGCTGTGTGTAGTACCAGCCCTAGCGTGGACAGCACCGTGAAGGTGGCTGTGTGTAACACCAGCCCTAGCGTGGACAGCACTGTGAGGGTGGCTGTGTGTAACACCAGCCCTAGCGTGGACAGCACCGTGTGGGTGGCTGTAACACCAGCCCTAGCGTGGACAGCACCGTGTGTGTGGCTGTGTGTAACACCAGCCCTAGCGTGTACAGCACCGTGTGGGTGGCTGTGTGTAATACCAGCCCTAGCGTGGACAGCACCGTGAGGGTGGCTGTGTGTAACACCAGCCCTAGCGGGGCTTGGCGAGCACTGGGATAGTGCGGGCACCACGCACAGCGTGTGGTGGCAGCTCCCACGACGGGGAGTGGGTGAGCGTCAGCCCAGGGGCAGGGTTGCCACGGGCCATGGCACTCTGGTTGACCCCGTAGACATGTGATCCGGAGAGTCCATATGTTGTGTAGTGAAGATGGACGCGAAGACAGAACTTCATGTAGGGGCTTACGCCAATTTATTATGACAGGGAAAAGTACACTTACACCAGAGGTAGGTGTCTGCTACACCGGGTCCTTCGTGTGGACCCCAGGATTTACTCTTACCTCTAGCCTCGGCTATCCCCTTGGGTTCTCTCACTCGAGTCGGGAAGGGGGTTCTGCCAACACCGCCTGACCGAGGAGAGCAACCCACTCTTAGCCGGCTCTCACAGATTCTTCGAGCCCTGCTCTCGGCTATCTCTTCGGCTTTCCCACTCGTTGAACCCGGACTGGGGTTCAGCCAACACCGTCCGGTCACGAGTGGGAGAGACCTCCATCAGCCGCTCTCGGTCCCGGGCCCCCACAACGACCCCGCTTTCGTCACGGGGTCCCCCTTAAGTATCCCGCATGACATGACATCCTCGCGCCTCATAGCGCTCGTGACGTCACGTCGTCACACTACTCCTCTGCACATACAAGGGGTCCCAGGTGGGGGGACTAGTGGGTGACCACGTGTCCGGGGAGAGCTCTTGAGAAGGATCAAGAGAGAATGGGAATGCTCGAGAAGGCCGGCGGGGCCGAGCGCGGAGCGGCCCCGGCCGTAGGGGGATATAAGGCGCGTCCCTGAGAGGGACCGGGGTCGCTGCATTCTACAAGCTGGAAGCTCAACATCTGGAAGCGGGAAGCTCTACGCCTTAAGCTGAAGCTCTTCGTCCTACCAGGCAACCACGTGGTCGGAGACCCGAATGAGGGTCCGACCCTTGGTAGCAGTAACTCCTCTGTATTGGGTAGTTAGCTGGGTGGCCACCACCCTCAGCTGTGTCTGGTGAAGGGGCATTTACCCCTTTGTGTTACGGTGTTACAATAAATGTGTTGCCTCTAAAAGGAACAATGTCTGCGACTCAGTTGGACTCACTACATACGTATAAATGGGTACACAACAGTTAGTTGGTCGATCGGCAGATCGCGTCTGGTGGGGTGAAGTGTAGATACCCCACCTCTTCCAAGATGTCTGGCTGGTGGAACTGTTTGTTGATAATTTGGTGTTTAAATTTTTATTTAAAGCTTTCATGACTGTAGCGATTCATAGTCTTGGTTTCCCTTCACTTAGAAGGGAAACAATAAAATACTAAAAATATATGCTGTGGTTTTCACACCTGATGATGATTGTTTGTGTTGCAGTCGAAACGTCGTGAGAATTTTATTGTTTTATATTTTTATTATTTTATTGTTTCCCTTCTACGTTTTCGCACACGTTTTCACACCTGATGATGATTGCTTGTGTTGCAGTCCAAACGTCGTGAGAATTTTATTGTTTTATTATTTTATTGTTTCCCTTCTACGTGACTTTACCGAAAGAACCAAGAATATATTGTTTTATATATTTATTATTTTATTGTTTCCCTTCTACGTGACTTTATCGAAAGAACCAAGAATATAATTTGGTGTTTAGTTTGTTGTCCTTCCACCGCACCTCCGCTTAACACGCTTGGCTACGTACGGTGGCAAAGTAGTTCAACATACACAGAGTATGGAAGAGTAGACCAAACACCTTCTATAGGTTCTCTAGAGATCCCAGCAACTGAAGGCCCTTTCGCGGAGCAGCAATGCAGGTTTGAGGCGCTGCTAGAGCGGATCAGAGACCCAATGCCGATGTTGTCTCCTTGACACGCGCGAAAATTTACTTGATAGAGAATGATCGCATCGTGCGGTCACGTAAATAATGCAAAGTGGCCGCTTTGAAACTCATAACGAAAACCATATACCGTTATTAAAGCTTGCTCGTCTTTTGGTTACATCATTCATTTATTGTATCAGGTTACTATGTTGAATAAAACAACTCGATATATTCGTCAATAACATTGTTGCCTTAAAAGGAAAAAAAATAGGCTACGTTTCGGGCAATGGCCCGTCTTCACCACTGCCAACGTAGTGGCAACATTATAACCACCACATAATGTTATGTTTAATACAGTACAGTGCTTTATAATTTGTGGAGTGGATTTTTAAACTTCCCTTGCCGAATTTACACTGTAAGGAGTTTTTTTTTTACGACACGCTCGGTGACTTGTTTGTCGCAGCATGATTGATGCGAGGAATTGGAAAGCATCACAAACAGCGCACTTAAAATCGTGCATTAATGTACAATGGTGGTCCAGATGTCATGTGCCCCCCCCCCCCCCCAATGAATTGACCTCTCGTATATTTTTCCCCGTTTCATAATAATTTCTGTTTTTTATGTTAACGGTTAGAGAATTAAATGGGGGTCACAAGACATCTGGGCCACCCTGTAGACACCATATAATGCATTACAAAACACATTAGGCGCGTGACGTCATTTATGGACGGCCCCATATATTTATTAACGTTAAAAAAGCTACGATTGAGAACCAAAGGGATGCAAGGCTGCAGAGTAAAGGTTTAAGATCCGCTGGTTTTTTTTTAGATCAACGCAAAGCGAGTGCATTGCACCACGTGCCCGGGGTGGTCTGTTCAAACTGGGGGGGGGGAGGAGGGGGGGAGGTGTCTTGGTGCACCGCTGTGACGTCACCGCCATAGCGGAAACCAGAAGTAAACATCCACCCCCACACCCCCCCTACCACCCCTCCCCCCACCGCCACACCAACCCCCACCCCTCCCCCCACCCCTGAGCCCCCCCTACTAGGGGCGGGGCCTGCGCAGGGTGCTGTGTGAATGAGTGCGCGGCTGCAGACAGGCACAGCCACTCGCCTCTTCGTCCACGGCGGAGTCGGAGGTTGCCGGCAGAAGTGGCGAGGACGGCTTCTGCGTAAGCCCGTCGATACATCCGTCCGCGAGTTCATAAAATCATTCAGCCGTCCGTCAAATTTGGTTGGGGCTAATCCCATTCATCCAATTCCATTAACCCACCCACCGACCCTATCAATATCGTTCGGCCACCGTTTTACTTATTCATCAAGTCCGTCAATTTGTATCCGTCCACCCAGCGATAGGAACGAACCTCTTCTCTTACCCAAGGAACCCTCTCCACTTCGCGACGGTGGTGGTGGTGGTGCCGGTGCCGGTGGTGGTGGTGATGGCGAGCCGAAGGATCGTCGTCTTCCCAACGAGTCTCTGCGGACACGCAGCGAGTCGAGAACTTCACGCATGAGTAAGTGGCGCCGTCAATCGCTCGCACGCGTGCCGGAGACAAAGATGCCCTGTTTAGAGACTCTGCGCGCTTTGGGGCCGAGTGCTGTTAGCGAGCACCTGTGGCACACGACGGGGTGGGGAACCAGCAACCACGCCCGGCCGCCTTTGTCTCCCCAATAAGGGATGGGTTTTTTTTTTTACACACCGCACCAGGTACTCATTTGAGGCTGAGTTAACCTAGGGGGAGGGGGGGAGGAGGACCGGCTACCCTACCGCTCACACACAGCAAAGACAAAGATCCCCCGTGTAGCCTGTGACAGACTGTAGGGGCAAGTGCTGTTAGCCAGCACCTGTGAAGGCCGGCACGGCACACGAGGGGGTGGGTGGCCAGCAACCACGCCCGACCGCCTTTGTCTCCCCAGTAGCGACGTTTACTACGCACCGCACCAGGTGCTCATTTGAGGCCGAGTCGACCTAGGGGAGGCCCAGGACCGGTTCAGATAATCGTCACTGATGTTGGCCGTGAGCGGGAATGGAACTCGGGTCGCCGGGGTTCGTAGCGCAGCGCAGCGCTGACCGCTACACCACCGTCTCCCCCACAAACAACGCAGCAACACTCCTAACCACACACTCATTAAACTGAAGAAGGTCGTGTTTGTTTAAAGCCTCTGAGCTAAGGTTGGGCTTGCTTGTGCGGTTTAATTTTGTGTGTGTGTGTGCGCCAGGCAACCAGCAGTGTATGATGTGTGTGTGTGTTGTAGCAGCCAATGCCTTACGTGTGACCGGCGCTGACGCCACGTGTTGTGTTTGTTGTGTCCGCTACATCGAGACGCGGCGTTCCCCCACCCTCCACTCTACTCGTAGGACGCACGGTGTGTTAATTCATTTAAAACGACCCCCCTCCACGTGACGCGAAGTCTGCCACTTCAAAACGGCCCGCACAACTTTATATTATAACAGGTCCCTGCAGGGTGGGCTGGTAGGAACATTGGAATTTTGCGCAATTTTATTACACCCAACAGCACGAGATTTCACTTCGTTAACGTATTGGAAGGGGACGGACGGACGGACACATTAATCTATTGCAGGCTGGTACACTCAGTTTACAACTTCGTTCCTACCAGTAATAGTCTCCGTGGCTTACCAACCATTGTTGCCGACCCTGTGTCGTCGGGACCTCCTCTCGAGCGGGGCGATATTTACGAGCTTGTTTCAACGCTTTATCCTAACGTTTAGGATAAAGTGTCGTGGTCGATTGTATAAAGGTAGTGTTTGAAAAGCATTGACAGCCAAGGGCGGAGAGGTATCCGTGGAAGTGAAGCGAAGAAAAATCATCCCGTGGTGCAGATGCTGTGTGGATAATTTCATCGCAGGACCGGGAGAGATGCGACCGCCAGGGGTGAGGTCTTCATCCAACAGTGGATTGGGCGGGCATGGTTAATGATTAATCGTACTGTGTAGGTTTTGGTGGTTGTGCCGAACAGCTCTCCGATGTATTATCGCGTTGTTACCTACCGTGTGTCGGTTGGCATGATGTCCGACGTTTCGCTCCACGTACTGTGTAAGCGTCTTCCGGAACAAACGATTCGGTCTTGGGTAAGGGAAATATTCTCCACCCCCCTGCTCTCTAAACGCGGTTGCCCATGAGCCAAGGGCGTGATTGGTACCACCTGGGGTGGCAACATGCATCAACAGTAGCATCTAATATATCTACATCAAGGCCGTAGCCTTGGAGTCAACATTGGGGGAAACCAAATCTTCCAGGGGGTCCCCCCCCCCAGAAAAAAATCTAAATTTGAAAACGAATTTCCTGCCTAAAATATTGAAAAATTCACTAACACATGGGATGGACTTTTTATTTATTTTTTACAATAATGTCGAATAGTGTATTGTATTTAATTGCTCTGTATTTTTTTACCTTTTCTTGTTTCATTGTATGTAATGGCAGAGATTAGGTATTAATAAAGTACAACCACAATCATATAAACAGAAATCTATGCATTGTTATATGAAGACAAGTCCAGATATTGTGGCCAAGGTTGAGCTAATTGTTGATTTTATTTACACATTTAAAAGTAAACTTGGGTGGGCAGCAGGGGCGTTTGCTCTCCTCTCCTATCTTCTCTCCAGCCCTCTCTCCTCCTCTCCTCTGCTCCTATATTCTCCTCTATTCTCCAGTCATCTCTTTTCCTCTCCCCTGCTCTGCAGTCATTTCTGCTCCTTTCCTCTGCTCTTCTCTCCTATCCTCTCATCTCCTCTCCAGGCAATTACAAGTGTTTTGACTTGACATTCTTCAAGCAAAGGATCCAAAGGCCTGTTTGCGCTTATCGTTGACACTGATAAAAGACTGGCATATTCCTTCAAGGTCCAGTCTGTCAAGTTTCTCCTGGTGCACGTAACACATGGCCACATTATTCATCCTTGTTTGACTCATCGAAGATCTAAGCCATGTCTTAAGCCTCCTCGGGGCACAACACTCCTCTCAGCCTCTACAGAGGAGGCAGGGACGACCAGCAAGAAGTCTTACTAAAGCTTGCACCTGATTGAAGAGACCTCTCACCTCTGGCACCATTTCCCTAATAATGCTAGCAACATCTGAGCTCATTGACATGCTAATTTCTCTGCTCCAGCAGCTGCCCCAGCAGAGACCCACCTCTCTCTGCCCCCCCCCCCCCCTCTCTCTCTATTTAATGCCTCGACACAGAGGCATTGGGTCTCTGTGTGTCTATGTTGTGTGTCTGTGTTGTCTCTCTGCTTGTGTGCCTGTCTGTGTGTGTCTGTGTTTTGTCTCTCTCTTTCAATTTTAGTTCGACCTGATGACGGTTGCTTGTGTTGCAATCGAAACGTCGTACTCTATTATTTACTTTATTTTCTTTCTACGTGACTTTACCGAAAGAACCAAAGAGTAATTCCTGCAGTCACGAAAGCTTCAAATCAAGTTTGAACATCTGAGCTCATTTGATTTGTGTAATTAGCCCCAAACATGGCCAGCTGCACCTGCAGTAGTCTTGAATTCAATTCAGGAGACTCATCTACCACCTTGTCCATGTCTCCGCGTAGCAGCACATTCTCAAGCTGCTGCAGCTTGTGGAATCCAGCTTGATCAAACCTCTCTATGAATTGAGTATTCACTGTGTCCAAGGCGTTGTAGAATTGGGCTCTGTACAAAGACTGGGCATCCGGATGGATATGGGCTGCAGCCTAACTGGCGTAGCGTTTTGTAGGTTTGCGGATATGAAGCGTCTGAATAGGTTCTCAGTCCAACTTTGTTGCCATAGCAGTTGCTTTTGCGAACAAGACATGAAAGTGCTCCTCCATTCGCTTGTCCTGCATGCTTGTTTTGACTTGGTCCACAGCCTCCAACATGCCTGAAACAGTCTGTTTCCTAAGCTGCAGGGAGGTGTTCATGCACTCCAAATCCCCCATCAAGTCTTCGACCATTACAAGGCCGAGCACAGTGTTCCCTTTTAGACATTTTCCATGAAGACCATTGGCCTTAGTTGAAGCGTCAGATACAGCTGCATGATGCCATTTCTGACTCTTACTGGCTGAGAACTGAGCGGATGGCAGGGGTGCAAACAGTCCATCTGGTGGGACAGAGAGGTTTCAACGAGAGCCGGGCAACAGGAACCAAAAAAACCCCTAAGAGCAAAGAGGTACACATGATGAGAGGGAGACACAGAGAGAGAGAGACACAGAGAGTCCCTCTGCCGGTGTGGCTGGGTGTGGGGGTGGAATGTAAAAAAGGAACAGATGGAACCGCACACCAAAGGCTCTTTCGTAATTGCCAGGTATCACCTGCGCGCAGATTGGCATGCCGACAGAGGAGTTCTGTTGATTGAGGTTAAACAAGGGGATTAAATGAAACGAACAAATGTTTTGGGACGGAAGTTGACCGTTTGTGTAACTGCTCCACAAACAAAAGCTCACCACATTAGTCATTAGCAATGCCTTACAACATATCGAAATATATATGTACGGAAATATAATCCTAATGAACAGACATTGTCTATCCACTACTGGAAGAAGCCCTACCCCCACCTGAGCCCTTGCCATCTCTCAATGTCTTGCAGTGTCAGAACCCATCTCGTTCGTGCACACGAGTTTATTTAATCGCTCCATCTCCGATTTGGACGTCATCATGTGGTATGTTCTCTTCTTTGGCACAAATTGGTTTGTTTAACACGTATGCTTTCGCGACCAATATTATTCATAATAAAGGTTTTTTGGTTAGACCGCAGAAGTATAAATGTGTTGAAACCCTCCACTACCCGACACAGCCAGTCAGTAAGGGATTTGTCATGTAACCAAAACGCCAAATAGTTACTACTTGAGCCCACCGGTTTTGGGTTAGATCGTGTAAGTATATTTACAATCTGTGGATTCACTTTCCAACACACCGGTGGGCTGAAGTAGTAACTATTTGGCTGTTTACCTGACAAATCCCTTACTGATTGGCTGTGTGGGGGGCGGGGGGTGGAGAGTTTCCACACATGTGCTCTAACCCAAAAACCTTTATGGACAAATTGGTTTATTGGTTGGCTGCTAGCGTTTTAAGTTCAGGATAACTACCTGTGTTGGTACGTTGAGTGAAGTCGCAGTTTATTCTTGAACAATGGAACGGTAATGTGAATTGTAACGAAAATAATCTGCATGCCTTAATGTCCTGTTATCAATTCGAAATTGTGCAAGCTACCACCCCTAGGTGTGTTGTGGAACTATAAACCAATCTGTCTGCCCTACTATATAATGGACAAAAATGTGCATGCAGTGCTAAACTGAAAAAGAAAAATATTTTCACTGTGACCATCATACAATCTTCCATAGCTGCTAGGATTATTTGAGTTCATGATGTAAATAGTGCTAATTAGTGAGCAGGTGATGTCCTCTGCTTTGCAGACATATGGACGTTTTTTTCAATCAATGACATGGAGAGTCCATATCTTAATTATGCGTTCTTTATAATATCCTTTCGGGAATCAAATAATGGCATTATTTAAACAAACTTTTCAGCGGGTGGCATTTGCACAATGTGGGGCTCAGGTATTTTCAAGATAGTATATTTAGCACACACATCGTACCTAAATGTTGTACATTCCATAATCGTTTAGATTTTGGGTTGGTTCCAGAGCTGTTCTCCAAGCAACGATCAACTTACAGAATGAATAATGGAGACTCGTGAACATGCAGGGTGGAGCGGCGGTGGCGCGGTGGTCAGACCACAGTCCTGTGAACTTGGAAACCTGACTTCGATTCCCAGCCATGGCTAACGTCGGTAGCGAGTGATTTCTGAACGGGTATGGAGCCATCCCCTCATCGACCCCCCCCCTCCCACTGACTAGCGTGGTGAAATATGGCCAAGCTAACCTCACAGTAGACAAAATGGATGCAAAGTACTTTTATTGTGAACTTGCGTATAGCAGTGGGGGCCACACTGTATGACCCATTATGAAGACGCTCTCGGACTTGACACTCTGCCATTACAGCGACAACAAAACCTTTCCATATGCTATGCACCCAGCCTTAACATGTGCATCTACATGTACGTCGTGGTGTCGAGATGTTATCTCTCTCACCTGGTATGCAAGGAGGTCGTGGGTTCGATCGTGACCCCGACACCTGTATATTTGGAGCCTGCGTGATCTCTCTCGCCGTTGTTTCATGGGCTTTTTTCGTCGAGTCTTCCAAGTTTTCCCTCCGCATTTAGAAACGTGCGTTTAGATTATTTGGCTACTGTAAATTCCCCCAATGAACATGAGCCACTTCGATGGGTTATCGCATGTGGCCCCAATGAAGATGAGTCGCTTCGATGGGCTATCGCATGTGGCCCCAATGAAGATGAGTCGCTTCGATGGGCTATCGCATGTGGCCCCAATGAAGATGAGTCGCTTCGATGGGCTATCGCATGTGGCCAAGTTGCCTTTGAAAAAGAGCTCCGAGCTCAGTTGGCTTTAACTGGCAAATAAAATATTTTAGTTTTGTAAAGTTGCTGCTGGATGAGGATACCTCACCTGCGCCGTTGCGGATCATGGAGGTGATTTGACCATACTTCATGCTGACCAGTGCAGGTTATTGAATGTAGGGAGCGCATAGTAGACATGGGGCATAAAAGTACAGTAGAATGTAGGAATAGGTTTTACCCTTTTAACTGGCACAAAAACTGACACCTTTATTCAAGGCATCATGTTTGCAATAACCACAACACGCCTTTTGGCGTCTTCTGGTCCAACACCAGTGGAGACTGGGCTCTGGGGGAGGCTGTCTCGCGTGTGAACCAATCAAGTTCGGGGACGGTGCATATTATTATCAGAGTTGTCTTTTTTGTTTGCATTTTGACTGCTTGTGTTATGGTTATTGCAAACATGATGCCTTGAATAAAGGTGTCAGTTTTTGTGCCAGTTAAAAGGGTAAAACCTATTCCTATATCTTGTTTCTGGCAAAGGAGGTCTCATAATGTAAAATACAGTAGAATGTATTTTATACTCTACTGCACAGAAAAAAAACATGTACCTTCATATCAAATAAAAGTTGAACTTTAATCCAACACGCCACAGCAGCCGTACGTCCTAAAACTTTTGCGGGTTCTTTTAAATTGAACACTTGGGCTACAATAAAACACCACAAGCAGCTGGCGACTTTGATAACAGTCGAGGGAGAGCGTGGGCCGCTCAATTCCGTTCCCGAATAAGCTCCCAGCAGGTGGAGCGAAAAGTCGGATATCACGCCGAACAATGCACGGTACAACCCGGAAAACCACATCGGAGAGTTGGAGGCATCTGCTGGGCGTGGGGAAAAAGGGGGCCACCGATCACGCTTCAGCACGAAGGCGAAAGTCGAGAGTCTGCCGATACCTCCGAGCTAACGGGCTCACAAGCACATAGCGCGATCCTTTGGGCCTGGACCCATTAAACCAACGACCGTACACAGCAGTGGATTGTGGAATTTCAGGTCCGACAAAAAGGAGGGCAGAGGAATGCAAAAGGCTGTCGTGCAAGCGCGTGCGTCGACCGCCTGTGAGAAGGTGTCTCATTTCTGTGCCTCCCCCCCCCCCCAGGTCAGTTTGCACAAACAACCTCGAAGCAAATCCCCATGGGGTCACCCCGCTGCTCAGCAGTGCACATGCAGAGCAATGATAACAATAATATATCAACAAACGTAATATACAGCCCCCGTTGTCCATACAGTGCTGGATGAAGGACCTCATGGCGGTTGATTGACCATACTTCACCATGCTGGTCAATGCAGGTTGAGCCCAGGACTGTTTCTGATATAATTCAACCGCTGATGTTAGCCATGGCTGGAATTTGAACTCGGGTTGTCAGGTTCACGGGGTAGTACACAAACCACTGACGCCATAGCTCCGCACAGGCAATTGTTATATTAATAATAATGCCCTTTCATTTCCCGAGTAAGCCTCTCAAATTCTCAACTCTAAACCAGAAGGGTACTCCGTTGGGATGTTTGGCCAATTTCCTTTCAGGAATGATTAACATTTGGGAAGTAACTAGAGTATGTGGAGAAACAGATATGACTGAGGCAGATAACATTCAAAGCTCCAGACAGATGGATTCAATCCACAGGTATATCTAATACATTGAATCATTTATGGACTGATCCCATTGCTTTATTTCCATCTCCTGGCCACCTCGCAGTCGGTCCCACGACTACCATCTCCTGGCGGTCACCTATCCAAATACAAACAGCCTCAAACCTGCTTGGTGCATTCAGGGGTCATTCGGTTTGCAAGCAGACTGCTTTGAGTCGGTCAAGTACAACTTTAATTTTCGTCACACCTGACTATATGCAAAAGGCAAAGCAATATGTTTGGTGACCACAATTGCATCGCCTGACCTTTGAATCCATCGGTTATCTTCACGCGGCAGGTTCTGGAATTTCTGAAATTTCTGAAATGTACATGTGTTTTTCTTAGCCGTGACGAATGCAGTCTGCTATACTTTTAAAAGAAAGCAGGTGTCTGGTGCCAGGCATGCTTGACTGCGTATCTTTAGAACTGTTCCACATCCTCGCTCATGCTCGGAGATGTTTTGTTGGACGTCCGTTTTCGGCTACATTAATCATTGTGCACGAGGCGGTGGCACTGTTCCACAATGAGCGATTTTATGGCACAGTTTACCACGGACTGTGCAGTTACCGAGCGGTAAAAGAGCACAAGATTCACGTTCTGGGTTACGTAAAATTTGGCTCTCCGGTGTGTTTTAAGATAGTGCCGCATGTTGTTTTGGCACAATGTTTGGGAGCTTTTTCAGGAAACCTTTTCAGTTTCTGAAGAAGCTCTCGGTACGTCAAGCAAAACGTCGGGATGTTTCCAAAAGCATTGTTGGTGGGCGTTAAGCCTGCTGTTGCACACATAACTTCGTCTTGATCCCAGCTCTGTGAAGGTATTTGACTGACCTGGCCGCTTGCCCGACACTATGCATGATCGGCTATAGAACATGAAGGCCTCGCATGGAGTATAAGGCAATTTGTATTTGTTTAAAATGTAATTGCAAGTATCTCATGGGTGGTGGAGGAGTAGCACAAGTTGTAATTACACTGCACTATGATCTCGGCGAAGTGGGATAACGTTATAGGGGAGTGATTATATGAATCAGAATATTTATTTATACTGGAGGAATTTGACGAGTTGTAAAGCTCTTTTTCACAGATATCCAGTCTGTGTGGGTCAGAACGTTACAACAACAAACAATATGAAAACAGGATAGTGCAAAGTATAGGAAAGGTAAACTGATTATTAAAAAAATACAAATAAAACTCAACTATCTAATTGTTTACTTATTTGTCAGAAGTGACCTGGCCAAAAATAATATCTCAACAAAGTGGCTTGTGGAAATTTATAGCAGCATGGTGTTGGGAGGAACGTCATCCACCAGTGGATTGATCGGAGGTCTGTAAGTTGTAATTAATATAATTGTTTAATTCGTCTCGAAGACCAACTGAGAGCGATCTGTCACGAAATGTAAAAGGGACACAAATTTGTTCCAGATTTCTTATCTGGAACAAATGTTGTGCATCTTTATCTCACAGATCAGACTGCTGACAAAAGTGACCTTGACTATAGAAGAGACCGGGCGCACATCTGACATCAAAATGCTCTTTCCTGACTTTTTCAGGCACAGTGCTGGAGAAAATTCCACCTGGCACGCCCACCATCACCACTCCACCAACTCTCGGCATTTAAAATCCCCCGCAAAGGAAACGAAAGCGAGCAGTGGAGGCGACGAGCGCACGCGCGCGCGAGATGGGCGGGTCGCACTCCAGCCGTAACTCCCCGCTGGCCAAGCTGGCGACGCTGCGCTCCCTCCACATCGTCATGCTGGGCCTGGACTCGGCCGGCAAGACCACGGTGCTCTACCGCCTCAAGTTCAACGAGTTCGTCAACACGGTGCCCACCATCGGCTTCAACATGGAGAAGGTGCGGCCCGGGGCGGGCGGCGCCCGCGGCGTCAGCTTCCAGTTCTGGGACGTGGGCGGCCAGGAGCGCCTGCGCCCGCTGTGGCGCTCGTACACCCGGCGCACCGACGGCGTGGTCTTCGTCGTGGACTCGGTGGACGCCGAGCGGCTGGAGGAGGCGCGCACGGAGCTGCACCGCGTGGCGCGCACCCCCGAGTGCCAGGGCGTGCCCGTGCTCGTCGTGGCCAACAAGCAGGACCTGCCCGCGGCGCTGGCGCCCGCCGAGGTGGAGCGGCTGCTGGCGCTCGCGGAGCTGGGGCCCGCGGCGCTGTGGCACCTGCAGCCGGCGTGCGCCATCATCGGCGAGGGCCTCTCCGAGGGGCTGGACAAGCTGTACGAGATGATCCTGCGCAGGCGCAAGATGCTCAAGCAGCAGAAGAAGAAGAGATGAGCGCCCGCGTGGTGCTGGTCTCCGTTGGCTGATTGCTTTGTTCGCTTGTTCGTGTGGACTTGCGCCGGACGAACCCGTGGTGGTATCTGTGAAACAGCGGAGGACTTGAGGAAGTACCGTTGTTGGTCGTCACTTTCTCAGCGTGTTTACATGGGACGTGCTTTAACACGCGTACCGAAGCGACCTTAGAAGTGTTACTGTTTGTTGCATACACTGGATTGTGGCATCACGTATCGTCACTCAAGTGCTGGTTATAAGAAATATCATGTATGTGGACACTGGATTTATACAATACTTCTGCTGGTCAGGTTTACAAGGCTGTGGCTTCTTTGACTGCATCCAGATGCTTGAGCAATTGAATCTAAAACATCGTAGCTATATTGGTAAGTAGAAACTTGTAAAATAATTTACCATACAATTGAAGGAATGTTTCCTGCAACAAAGGTCAACACTGTAAATATCTCGGTGCAATGAAGTTACAAAGTCCAACGGTTGTATTGTGTTGCCCGAGTGCCAATGCAAGTGATTATAAACTGTGGGCTGTTTGTCTTGTACACGGAGTGAGAGAAATGCTCGCTTGAACAAAATGCCTATCCACCACAGCGCCACGTAAACCAATGAAATCAACGTAATATAAGCCAGCTTACTTAAGAATGTGTTAATGAACGACGACTGCTGGAAAGGAAGGCCTCCCTCATACACCTTTCAGGCTGTGATGGTTATTTGACCATACTTCACCACGCTGGTCAATGTGGGTTGGTGAAGATGGGGGGGGGGTGGGGGGGGGAGATACACGATGCATTTTGCTGCACTACCCACAACGACTTACACCTGTTTTTTTGTTGTTGCTCATGGTATGGTCACCCATCCAAGCAATATCGAGGGCTTAAGCTTTGCTTTAAGCCCGACGGGATCGGGCGAAATTCCAGGTGACTTGCTCAATGGTTTAGTTGTATATTTGGAAGCTTATACTTTGAAAGAGTGCCAACACTTCCCTCCCCGGCACCGCACCTCACGATAAAGAACATGTTTTGCCGAAGGATTTTTTAATATTACGATGTGGGAAAAAACTTGTCAGGCTTCGGGCCAAGAGGATGCTTGGAGTGCAAGCCTGCCTTTTGTGTGTGGTGTGTCACGAGAGGCCGTCTTGAGCTGAGGCGTTGCCAGTGTCATCTTGCACGGGCTCGTTTTGATCTTCCCACCCGCTATGGTGGATTTAGGGAGGTTGTTTTTTTTTGGTAGTGCGGCATCGTTAGTTCAGGGTTGGGGGCCCCTCGCCGCTAATGAGGCGCCGTCCCTGTCGGGCCAGAGAAGTTTTGAAGGCGCACACCGCTGAATGACACGGCCGGGCGGGATTTCGCTAGGCAATGCAATCCGAGGAGACGACGGGAGGAGGAGGGGCACGCCGCCGCCGCTGCTGCTGCCGCTGCTGCTGCTGCACAGAGCACTTTGCTTTGTTGAGGCGTCCCCCCCCCCTTGCTTTCATTCTGATGCACGGTGCCTGGGCTCAGTGCCCACTTGGCTCTGACGGACTCCACACAAGAGGGAAGTTGTGGGCGGTAGCGTAGTGTTTGGTGCACACTGCACTCTGAACACGGTGCACATTTGAATCCCGGCCACTGCTAACATCGGTGGCGATTATCTGAACCGGTCCTGGGCCTCCCCGAGGTTGACTCTGCCTTTTAAATGAGTAGTACCTGGTGTGGCAACATCAGTGCTGGGGAGACGAAGGCAGCCAGGCGTGGTGCTGTCCCACCCCCTCGTGCACCGTGCCGGTCATCATAAGTGCTCGCTCACAGCACTTGCCCCAACAGCCAGTTATAGGCCTTGTGGGGTGAGGTGGGGGGGGAGCTTGTGCGAGTGATTATAATATTTTTGTTTATCTTGTACCTTACCAGTCTAATGAAGGTGTGAAGGGGGTGTGCATCGGACGGTAATATCTCCATCGAGTATATGGTACAATAAGGATTCAGCATTAGAGGGGATGAAGGATCAACTTTGGTATTCCCTCCCCCCCATGTTTGTATGGGACGATCTTTTTATTTTTAGAAGCGCCACTCTATAGTGTTAACTTGCGAGGCCCGAGTTTCCCTGCTGTAATATCGCTTCCATCATCCTTGGTACTTTAAAAGAGTGGACGCGAGAATGGTGGTCTGACCAAAAGTTACATTTATAGCCACGTAAGGGATTTGTTTGTGGAGTATACCGAGTGTGTCAAAGAGTTTACAGTAAACTGTGCACTGATACACTTGTGGGGTGGGGGGTGTTGACATTGTTGTGCGAGACCAATGAAGCTTCGGCATGTTTGTATGGGACACCTGTAATTAAAGACGATTTTTGCTCATAGTGTAACCCCTATGCAAAAATTCAAAATAATAAAAACGTGTTGACTTTGGTGCAATTTCAGCAGCTGTGTATATTTTTCTACAGAGACGAAGCAAGCTTAATAGGCATTGGTTTTAAACCTTACACTGCTAAACCCCAATTACATTCAGGCAGATTATCCGCTGTGCTGTTGATGGCTCTGTCGTGAAATGTATTTTGTAACTTTGGAAATCCCAGTGAATGGAGCTGTGGCTCCCTTTGGAAGACAAGTGGCTGTGGGCCATTGCCACCGAAACTAGCTGGGTAACTGGCTAAACGGGATTTTCCGTGTAATAAATAAACATTGAATTGAAACGGCGGAAGCTCTTTAAGGCATAGTAGTTAACGACACCAAGCAGGTGGGAGTAGTGAATACAAAAGACCGACATGGTTAATTTTAAAATTGCTTTAACTTTTCAATTTGCTATCCAATTCGTGTAATTATTTTGGCATATTATTTAAAAAAAAACACTGCATATTATCTTGGCATTTTAGTCGGTTAAAAAGCAGATTACTTTTTCGTGCCCCCTGAGTACTGGACTGTGAAAGGAGAAGAAAACTCGTTCGTCTGTGTTGTGGGTATGAACGTGGAGCGAGACTTCTCTTTTGGAGGCAACGCGTGTATATTACAATAAACGTTAACGCCAATAGCCGTAACACTTACGGTTATGGCCTCTGTAACGCTACGGGGTACGGCCCCGTCACCCGATAACCTAAGGGAGGTACAGCCTCCCTTCCTGCGTGCCCTACGGACTCCGGGCTACGCTCTCACGGGTCCTCCGCTACGGGAGCTAGGCGAGGCTAGCCTGACCCGACCTAGCCAGGGCGTACGGGTATCACCGCTGGTCCGCTTGCAACCCGGCTCTGGTCTACAGACGTCTTCGGGTCTTGAGTGGACGAACACTGCCGGTCCCGTTGAGAGGGGCCGGCTTTTCTACACAAGTTGGTGCTTACCCCGCCCCTAACCGCACCTAACCCAGAACCTTCCAGAAGTCTCTAGAAAGTTCGGGAATGAACCGTTGGCTCCTAGCCCCCAGCCCCCACCCCTTGGGGGTCTGGGGTCTCTACCTCCGGTCACGGGGTACCCGGGGTGGGGGGGGGGTTACCCCAGGTCAACCACCACACCTCCCGCTCACTCTCTCGGCCGCCCCCTATCGGCCTGTGAGGGTGGTGACCATAGGAAGACCAAAAGAGCCTTGGTATGGTGCAACATCTGCAACAATTATTTACAGCCCTTCGTCAATTTCTGCATGGAAGGCCTACTATTAGGTAGCGGGCATGGATGTTGCTCGACGTTACCAGCCCAGATGGGGCCAAGAACTGGTTCGAATATTACTCGCCACCAATATCATACTCGCCACCAATATCAACTGTGGCTCGAGATTTTATTCAGGTCCACTGGGTTCACAGCCGCAATGTGCGAACCCCCCCTCCCCTGCCCCAGTCAAATCGTAAAACACATTAATTTCCTATGAAATAAATGGTAATTAATGGAAATGTGGCTTAAATAGCATTGTTAAACAGATAAACACAACCCAACAAACAACGGGCGCAACGAGAAATATATAGTGTTTGCAAAACACGCTGCTGCGTGTTGCCTCCAAGAAAGTGTGAAATGTAAGAAACTAAATCCTTAGTTGATATTTGAAAATGTCAACGCAGGCCTCATTTTTAAGCAGCAGACGATGGCATGTTTAAAAGGGAATATTTTTTGTTTAATATTTCTCTATGATGTCAGTGCTTTTTGTAAATGTCATCACGTACGATTGTAAAGCGGAAACTGGATCTCCCATTGGGATCTGAGCCTGCATCACTTTCGGAATTATTTCAGAATTATCATACAAAGCTAATGGTGCAACCCTGCAATTGCTTGTTCATGCTGCTGTCAACGGAGAGAGGGCTCCAGACATCCCCTTTATACATATACAGTAATGATAATTAATTTTATACAGCGTCATTCATGATAATTGCATCTCACAACGCTGTACATTAATAATTATGAGGGCTAACACCCATATATTGTATATAGCTACTACAAAGCAAGTTAAAAACCCCAAACACAAATAGATAAACAAAGACATTACGACCAACACAAAAGGCACAAACAACCAAAACGTCACAAATAAGACATTGGAGTACCCCACTATAGGTAACGTGCCGATCAACTAAATCATAACTGTATCCATTCTAAACTGAACTAAAGCTAAACGACTGAGTGGTATTGATATTTTTTCAGAATCGATTTGGCCACAAATGATAGCTCAACAAAGTGGCTTATGTCGAAATTTAAAGCATCCAAATACTCTATGCGCATGTTGATTCTAAATTGTGGAGATAAAAACCGGAGGACCCAGATAAAAAAAAATCCATGCAAACACGGGGAGAGAAACGTGTAAACTCCAAATATATGGGGTGTCAGGATCGGGATTCAACTCACGACCTCCTGCATACCAGGCGAGGGAATCAACATCTCGCCACCGCGGGGTGGAAAGAGGTGGGGGAGAAGAAACAAAGCGCCTTGACAAAGTAATTAGCATAGAATTTAGCATTGAAATAGCTGAGTGATTAGCTTGTGACTGGTCACAGAAATGACTATGTTAAAGTCAAAGCATACACATCAACAGAGGCACCCCTTGACAAAGGAATTAGCATAGAATTTAGCATTGAAATAGCTGAGTGATTAGCTTGTGACTGGTCACAGAAATGGCTATGTTAAAGTCAAAGCATACACATCAACAGAGGCACCCCTTGACAAAGGAATTCGCATAGAATTTAGCATTGAAATAGCTGAGTGATTAGCTTGTGACTGGTCACAGAAATGGCTATGTAAAGTCAAAGCATACACATTCACAGAGGCACCTAGTACAAATCAAACAGCAGAATTTAGCATTAAAATAACTAGGAGAATTTAGCATTGAAATTATCCTAGTTATTTCAATGCTAAATTATCCTGTTTGATTTGTACTAGGTGCCTCTGTGAATGTGTATGCTTTGACTTTACATAGCCATTTCTGTGACCAGTCACAAGCTAATCACTCAGCTATTTCAATGCTAAATTCTATCCTAATTCCTTTGTCAAGGCGCTTTGTTTCTTCTCACACAGCTTAAAGGTCGCGATCTGAGCGTGGCTTTGTTCGCTCCAGCGCTGTCCTCCAGACTGTCTCGTCCCTTCACCTGATGAAGGCCGCTTGTGTTGTGGCCAAAACGTCGTGATAATTTTATTGTGTTATTTTATTTTATCAATTTATTATTTTATTCTCATTCTACGTGACTTTACCGAAAGAACCAAAGAAGATGAATCCTTGCAGTCACGAAAGCTTTAAATCGAAATTGAGGTGGGGGAGATTTTAGAAATGCGCGCAGTTTTTCAACTGCCATGCTGAGAGATCCCATCTAACCAGCGACCTCTGGATTGCAAGTCAAGCGTGCGAACCCTTACACCACGAGCAGTACGCCTAGAATTACTCCTGTAGGTTTCCGTTTAATGCGTCGATTGCTCCTATAGATATATAATGAGTCATGCCACAAGGCCCACGAGCTGTAAGCTGCGCACAGAAATCAAACATGAGGGCACGGAGGAGAGAGGGCTGATAAGCTGCACGGACAGGGGTAGAAAGTAAAGGTCAGGGTACATACGCAGCGGAGGTGAACAGTGAGATGGAGGCACTTGAAAGAGATGAAAAAAAATGCATAGGGAAATACTTAAGATTGGGAGTCAGTGCATAGCGTGCAGTCGTCTGATGTTCACACTTGAGACATTTATTGTTTACGCATTAAAACCTCAATCATTCAAAAGCTGTGTTTGCTTAAGCCATTAAAGGAATGCTAAAGATGTTTTTTTTTTACCGTGGATAACCTAAGAGGCGCTTGGTAGCGGTTTTCGCACTGCGCCATAACCCAGAGACTTGGGTTTAATTCCTGGCCACGGCTAACAAGTGACATCTGAACTGGTCTTCGCCCACTTCTCCCTTACCAACGCGCACTTACTAGCGTGATGAAGTATGTTCAAGCACCCCCATAACCGTTTTGACGTGGAAATGCTTTCATTGGGCAGTGGAATGACAAAGAGGAGCAATTTTTGTTGTTATCAAAACACACTTATTGGCGTTTACCGATTTGGGGTACTTTGGTATCACTTGTTTATCTTATCCAGTAACAGGTTCTACGACGGTGCAATTAAGCAGTCGTTATATTGTACAGAGCCCACTCTATGACTGACGCAACCAAAACATAGAATTGGTGCCACTGCAGTCGTGAATCTGTGAGTATATGTGTGAATACTGGGAGCGGTGGTGTCGCGGTTAGCACGTTGTGCTCCAAAACCCGGCGACCCGAGTTCGATTCCCGCTCATGGCCAACGCCAGTGACGATTATGTGCGGGTGTGGTGTTGACCACCCCTCCCCCCCCTCGTGTGCCATGCCGGCCTTCATAGGTGCTCACAAACAGCATTTGCCTCAACAGTCTATTCAGGCTTAAAACTTTCGTGACTGCAGGAATTCACATTCTTAGTTCTTTCGATAAAGTCACGTAGATAGAAAATAAAAAATAAAATTAGGCGATGATGAAGACCGCTCGTGTTGCGATCAAAACGTCGTGGTTTTTTGCTTTTATTTTTCATTTGAATTTATTTTCAATTTTATTTTCTATCTATGTGACTTTACCGAAAGAACCAATAATGTGTATATTCAGGCTTTACGGGGAAACTTTGTATTTTGTATCCCTATTCCCACCCTAGTCTTGGGTTACCACCTGTGCTGATATTCCCTGGATCGTCCTTTTTCTTTTTTTTTTGGGGGGGGGGGGGGGCAATTAGTTATCCTGGGAAACCTGTAAGTCCTCCCAGGGAATTCAAAGTCCAGTTTTTTTGTCAGTTGCGCAATAATGCACCACCCATAAGTTAAAAAAAAATACTCTTCTTCCCATGAAGTCCTGTTTTTTTTGTAATGCCGCAGTGGCAACTCTATTCAAGTCTTGATTTAAAGTTTTCGTGACTGCAGGGATTCATATTCTTGGTTCTTTTGGTAAAGTCACGTAGA